GGTCAACTTTCTTACAAGTTGATCTTGCAAGTCCTATTGTTCGGATCTTGCAGTTGTTGAAGAAGCGTGACCTTCGAAGGAACAACAAAGCCAGCACGAGTGCAGTAGCAACATTGGTCTTGTGAAGATATACCGTGCAGAAATTCACACAAGTGTAATTGTTGGTTCATTATTCAACAACCAACTACATAGTGGATTTTGAGGACGTAGAAGGATTACCCCACCTTCGAACCTCGTTAAAGTTTGCGTGTCTCTCTCTTTTATCTTTACTCTAACTTGCAATTACATTAACTGTGAAAACTAACCCATCCATATTGATTACTGCTCACTCTACCCACCAAATTCCGCACACAATCTAAAGTTCTCAAGAACTCTAGATTAACACTTATTTTCACGTTTTTCAAAAGAAACGAAAAAGATTTTAAATTTGTAACAAAGTCTATTCACCCCCCCCCCCTCTAGACTTTGTATCTCACCACTTTGGGACCACCATATATTTAGCTCAATTGTATGACCATTACATTTTTGCAATATAGCGGTTGAAGAATATAAATAGTACAACGAGCTTGTGTGGGTAAGAAAGTGAATATCATTTATTACTTCTACATACTTCCCTATTGCAAACATTTATTTCCATCTTCTACCTCGTTTCTTCTCACATTTATTTTTCTAGTTACATATCTTTCCTTATATTGCAAAAAAATGATCAGGATAAAATATGAAAACTACACAAGAATACTTGCCAAATAAAATGGCTAGTATGACAACTAAGAGATTTGATAAGGTTCTCCCTGCGGAAGAATCGAATAAACCAAAATTCAAGTGGGAGCAACTTTTCTTCAATTAAGATTCGTGGAGAGGATGAATTGGAAAACAACCACTTTAAATTTCTTGGTAACTATTCTTAGGTCCATAGCTTCACAAGTGACTTTTCTTCTTTCAACATTGGCCTCTTCGGTGTAAGCTTGTGGATACATAAAAAATTTGCAAAATAGGAGAATCAATTCATATCAAAGTTCTTTTGGCTACAAAAGAAATAGATAGTAGGGGCATATCACAATTCAATGAATAACGTCTGTCCTTCTTGTCTCCTAGTGTGTTGTTTCTTGTAATTTAAGGTTGGATAAAAAATTATATTTCCCGTCAAAAAAAAATTATATTTAGCTCAATTGGATGACTATTACATTTTTTGCAAAATGGGGGTTGAAGAATACAAATAGTACATCGAGCCTGTGTGGGTAAGAAAGTGAATATCATTTATTTCTTCTACATACCTCCCTATTTGCAAACATTTATTTCCATCTTCTACTTTGTTTTTCTCACTTTTATTTTTCTAGTTACATATCTTACCAAAATTCAAGCGGGTGCGATTTTTCTTTAAATAAGATTCGCGGAGAGGATGAATCGGAAAACAACCACTTTAAATTTCTTGGGAACTATTTCTAGATCCATAGCTTCACAACTCGCTTTTCTTCTTTCAACATTGTCCTCTTTGGTGTAAGCTTGTGGATACATAAAAATTTTGCAAAGCAGAAGAATCAATTCCTATCAAAGTTCTTTTGGCTACATTTATTCCTTCTACATACCTCTCTATTTGCAAACATTTATTTCCATCTTCTACCTCGTTTCTTCTCACATTTATTTTTCTAGTTACATATCTTTCCTTATATTGCAAAAAAATGTAATGGTCATCCAATTGAACTAAATATAAATGTTTATCCTACCTTAAATTGCAAGAATGAACACACTAGCAGACAAGAGAGACAGACGTTATTCATTGAATTCTAGATGTATATCCATTCTTTGGTAGGAAAATATTTTCCTTCCACTAATGTCACCAAAGTCCAAAAACATGAAAATGGAATCAAAATTTTCCTGAAAAATATTTTATGCCCAACCAAACACACTAATAATTTTTAAAAAAATTACAGAGATAGGACTAAAACGACATCGTTTATGTAAATAAAACCTATTTCATGAATGAGATGAAAATATTACTCCTTCTGTCTTAAAATATTTTTCTTAGTTACTAATCACATGGTGACATTGAAAGTTTCAATCAATAGAAAACAGTTCAGTCAGCGTGTGACATGAAAGTGGAGTGGTATGTCATGCTGTAATACCTCGTATTAAGATGGGAATGGAAAGAGCTCAAAAGGATTGATAGTACTACTCATACCAACAAGGTGCATCTTCTTTTCGAGAGCTCATCATCTAGAAACTCCAAATTTAAGCGTGCTTGACTTGGAGCAATTCTAGGATGGGTGACCCCCTCGGAATTTTCCTTGTGCGCGCATGAGTGAGGACAAAGTGTGCGGAAAAGACTTGTGTTGGTTTGTGGGGCAAGTCTACAATTCTATGAGCGAACACTTACGGCCAAGGTGAGGGCCGAAGTGTTACACATGCAGTCGCAAGTCATTGTTTTTATCATTTTTACTTCTTTACACATTTTAATTATTTAAATTAATTTTATTTATATTTTTAGCCAGTCTACAATCCTATGAGCGGACACTTACGGCCAAGGTGGGGGCCAAGGTAAGGGCCGAAGTGTTACACATGCAGTCGTAAGTCATTGTTTTTATCAATTTTACTTCTTTACACATTTTAATTATTTAAATTAATTTTATTTATATTTTTTTCAATTTAAAAAAATAAAAATAATTCAAAATTATTTAAGTTTATTTTGTTTATATTTTTACAAAATATACTCTTTTTAAATATATTTCTTATTTAAAAAAAATAACTAAAAAACAAAAGAATTACGTTTTTTCAAATTTTACATTTTTTTACATATTTCTTATTTTTACTACTGAGTATTAAAAATAACTTTATTTTATTTTTTCCAAAAAGATACTTCTATTTTTTAAAAATATTTTATTTTATGGGGAGAAAAAAACGCGGAATAGTTGCTTCGCCCATGACTTGCCAAGCATGGCAAATCCCTTCAGCCTCGCAAGGCATATTAGCAACTTGGCTTATGTGGCAGGCGTGGCAGTGGCACAACCACGCCACTTCCAGTGCTCTTAGTGGCCCGACACATTAATCCATGCAGCTTTATGGGCCGCATGGCGCACACATAAAGTGACATTATTAAGCGTGTCGATTCAAAAAGTAGATTCTCAATTCTTTAAAAAAATTCAAATTTTTTATGGTGTGTTTGGGAACTTAAATTTAGATTTTCAAATCTGGATTTGATCCAAATTACTTGTTGGTGAACTCCAAGAATTTGGATTTGGATTTGGACCAAATTCATTTAATTCAAAACTAACTCAACTACAAATTCATACCTCTCCCCATGTCATTTGCAAATTCAAGTTAAATTTTTCTTTAATTTAGAACTTGTCATTAAAGAGTGATCTCTCTTATGTAATAACGATTCCATACATATCAACTCACTTCCGTTAGTGTTTTTACCGGCTTCAAAATTCAAATTCTAGACTTGAATATCTATGACTTTCCAAATAACATTTAGAATTTAAAAATATGGTATTTCAAAAAATATTGAAATTGAAATCTAAGATTTCAAATGAATTATAATTCCCAAATACTGCCTTATTAAAATGTCAACCAACCACTTCCTGAAGAATAAATAAACTAAAAATACATTGCAAGGTCATTCACAACAGAAGGAGCACTGCAACATCTCAGATTGAGGAGGTAATATTTTTGCATATATCAAATTATACTCATGTGCTCTTTTGTTTCTTTAAAAAGTATCCCAATAACAAAGCCATTTTGTTTTTGGCTATTTTTGAAGACCACCCGTTATTTTTTATAATCTTTCTGGATACTTAGAGCACAAGCAATAGCATGTCAAAAATGAAATGTCACACGATAACATGAAATGTTTTAACCAATTAAAATCATTCCAGTCAGCATATGACAAGTGAGTGGAATAACACGCATTGCAGTGGCAAGTGAGTGGAACGACATGTCTTGCAATGAAAAGTAATTATTTTTTCACTTTCTAACATATTTTAATTATTAAAAGTAATTTTACTTACTATTTTTAGTAAAAATAAATATACTCGTTCAAAAAAAGCTTTTTTTATTGTACAGAAAAATAAATCCTAAAATAAATATAATTTTAAAAAGCTTATTAAAATGTTATTTTGTTATTTCATAGAAGTACTTTTACATCCTTAAAAAAACATTATTTTTCCTTGAAAAAAATTGACTCCAGGTTACATGCAAAGTGGGGTGGAACTCCCTTTGCCATCCATGGCATCTCTACTTTGTAGCTGATGTGGCAGGCTGTGGAAGACTGGAAGCCAACCTCTACGCCAGGCTCTTAAATTAGGAAGTACGGAGTAGTAAAATAAAATCAGCACCAGATATAGCAATCAAAAGTGTTATGGTTCGTTTAGTACATGGAATTGACAGAATTGAAATTGAATTAGAAATTGAAATTCAATAAAATTGATTTGGATGGAATTAAACTCTCCAATTTCAATTTATTTTTTGGCACTACCAATTCCAAATCCACATAAATTTGTATTACCAAACAATAGAATTGGAACTGTTATCCTCAATTCCAATTTCATAGTTTCAACTCCATGTACCAAACGGAGTCTTATTGCATTTGTCTTACTTCTGCCATGTTTCAATGTCATCCTGTGTGACAGAGCTAATGAACAGATTTAGAACTAGACATAAGGCTAAAGTACATCTCATTGTGCCTGAATTCATAATGTTCAATGTTGTCTATGACATGAACAAAAAAAATGAATTCCTATTCTGCTTACAGGGACATGTTTATTGTAGTCTACATACTCCTGAACTCTTTGAACAAAGAAAATATAAACAAATATAAATGCCAGTCTCAATAATATAAGACTTCTAGATCAGCGAATGTTCCCGAAGCACATCAACAAGTAGAAGGGATTGTTGTTGGCGTTCGTAAACACTCCAGATTCGGAATTCGGGGTCAAAGTACGAAGACTTGTACCAGCGAGACAACGAGGCTAGTGGAAAGGGCCCCTGAACTACTCCTTGGGGATCCATATAGTTCCATATTGCATCATAAGGGTCTGGAGCAACACCATTTTCATCATCACTCAGCTCGATGATAGAAGATTCCCTCCCTGGTTCTGAGCATCATCATCCATCACAGAAAATGAATTCAGTTCAACACATTAAAAATAGAATAAGATAGCAAACATTTTCAGTATAAATAAGAATTGAAATATTCGCCGGGAGCACATTATTGATAATCTTACTATATATGAGTACATATGCATTGACAAGATATTCCACTAGGCATCTTAATCTTAACGTCCAATAACACTTCACTGATTTGAAGACCCAGGAGAGTTGTTTTGTTTAATTTTTTTTTTATTGTTTTGTTGTGGAGAGAGGGTATTTGTTCTCACACACAGGCAATCTTAATAAAAAATTTAGATCTTATCATGACAGATAGTTCTATTTAAACTGAAATATTGGATGTGTTAATTTCATAAGATAAACGTAAAGGTAATATATGAGAGCTTGCTATAAGTAGAACAATGCACATATTCATCCAAATACCAGGAGCAGATAGATCAGAAGCCTCCCTAAGAGTTGATCCCAAGAAGCACCTCAGTCCTCCCACTTCTTCCGGAGCATCCATTGACATAGTTTCCTTTTCAGGCTCTTCAGCATCTGTTTTAAAATTCTCACCAGAGAGATTAATCTGATCAGGTTCGGGAGAGGAACTTTTTTCTTCATCTTTTTCAGAAGCATTTGGTGGGGTAGCTTCGGGTTCTAATTCATCAGGCACCACTTTTGGCTTCTCTGACAATAATCTGTCTTGCTCAGCTTTGGTCATGAGCAGCTGTCTTTTCTGCAAGTACTCATGCAATGTGAATTCTACAGCAGTTAAAGAAAAGGGCAATGGTTCAAGAGTGCCAGTCTTCCACAAGTTTTCCAACTTCATTCATAAGGGTAATGGACACCTTTGGAACAAATAATATTTGATTTATGGACTGTTTTTTTTCTAATTAGGAATTAACCTTTCTAGAAGTAACAAATAATAGAGCAGGCCGCCATATGAAACTTGCTAAGAATGGCGGGTTATGACTTAATGAATGCACCATATGGCAAAGTTCTGGTCATTTGCCATTCATAACAATGACCTGGTGTAATGAAAATAAAGAGATTGTCTAATTAATCACTAATAAGAAAGTCTTATGTTTATGATTGATAGAATTTAGAATTGGGATGTTTTCTATAGACTTGCCATAACACACTTGCCCGACCCACAATAAAATATTGAATCTAATCCATTAGATAGTTCAACTCACATCTTATGAACTCATCATTGCAAAGTAAAGTCACAACGTTCAAGTGTAGCTAGTGTCACCTAGCACAACTTCCAATGCATGGCATTGAATATCATAGCCTAAGGCATGCATTAGAGAACTTACCAAAGATTTAAATGATAGAAAAAACAAAAAATGTGAGATAAAGTGGAAATGTAGATTTGAATAACCTTTCAGGTCAATTATCTAAAGACTTTGTAGGTCTACTTTTTTTTTTGGGGGGGGGGGGAGTTGTTTATTAGGTAGGTTGTTTTTCTCACTCATTTAATGTCTAACGGAAACAACCTCTCTATTTTCATGGGGTTAAGACTGCATATATCTTGACCCCTCAGACCCCAACAGAGTTGGATTATCCTAGGTCGTTGTTTTGTTGTAGGTAGGTTGTTTTGCTAGGGAAAATATCAGGACGGGATAAGGATAGGTACTGAACACCTGACATTGAACGAAAACAAGTGTTAGTAGCATGTTATGAGTACACATCATAATTCTGATGTGTCACGACTTTCCAGTTAGGTCTTATGAACTACATTAGTAGTATTTACCACTAGATATCAATATGTCATAACAATCATAAATGAATCTTCTTCCTTGGTCTGTATTCATCGGGTGTGTACTTATAAATGTTGTTACCTTTGCATTTTACACTCAGTATAAGCCATACAAAGGGAAAAAACTCATTAGCAAGTCATAAGAGCTTAAATAGCAAAGGATATTCTCTCCGCCGTCCCTTTTCATTGGCATGGTTGATTCGCCTCTGTAACAATGCGATCTCTCTGTTAATCCACTGTAAACATATTAAAAGATCAAAGGAAATATCAGAACCACCAGGAGAGAATTCATATGATCAATTGAATAGGAAGGCAATATCTGAATGGATGGCTATGCACAATGTGACCACCCAAAAGTGCATCTTTTGTTCATATAAGGAATTCACATTAATACGAATATACGATAGCTTGTCCATTAATAAAGTATGATTTGCAAAAATATGCATCAGCAGGAATGATACTAAAAATATAGGGAATTCCCTAGTACTTTTTGAATTTGACATAAAGTATGATGTATTTTACTACTTTATGTTCATTATCGTTCCTCAGAAATTCTATTCCAGGAAAAATATAGTTTCTCACTAGAAAACTTGATGGAACAGAAAGTATGAAAACAGAATAGGGATTAGAAGCAGGTATGCGCATCACCTCAGAAATTTGATAAATTGCTTTTAGGAATAAGTGAATAACCTATCTATTGCCGGGGATCTTTTATACTCATATAACTTAGGGATCATAACAAATACGGAGTAACAGTTAAGCTTCTTTCTGGAATTTGAAATGGATGGAGATTGGTCCCGTTTAAGAGAACAATTACAAATTTACAATGCATGATTACATTCTTTATACAGCCCTGCAAACTAGGCATGCTTAAAGGATCATGCTAATCTGGTCGGAAACCATCTGTGAGGTTTGCCAAGGGCCAACATTGGTTGTCAACTTAATTAAGGAAATTTATTTTATAATTACAGAAAAGCGTGATAATCTAATTTGGCACCCCAGATAACAATGAGGTTTACACTATAAAAAGTGCTTAAAACCTGCTTCAAAATACTAAGCAAGCTCAAAAACATCTATCTATTGCAGTATTTGCAAATATCTATCTGTTGCAGTATTTGCAAATGTATCTCTTTGTTTGAAGATAATCCTCCCTTTGGCATCCCAATCCAAACACATTCACATTTAAGGAAAATTTAGTCAGTGTAATATGGATTGCACTTTTGCAAAAAAGGTCTAGACAACAATTTCCTAACGTGGATGATTACAAACTGTATAGTACTTAAGAGTTTTACCCAAAAAAATCATGTGTCGTCTGGTTTTGGTTTTGCTGGGTCTAAGTAGCAGATTCTTCCATCTAAAGTCAATCCCACAGGCGACCACAGATCAGGTAATTTTTAACATCACCAAAATCTTACAGAAGAACTCACCTTTCTGATTGCAGGTTAGAGCAATAGCCATCATCATTCAAAAACATAAGCTGCATGACAGTCGTGTCCAGCCCAAGCCTCCGAAGTTGGTTTAATGGTTAAACCCTTCTTCAGGATGGTACAATCTAAATACTGATGAATCCTCTAATGGGAATCCAGGCAACTCAAGAAGAGGTTAGGAACTTTAGGATAATATATACCACCAAGGATCTATCCATCAGCTGGTAAATATTTTGACTCTTAGTCGAGGATCAGCTGCTTGGGGCAGAGAACACATCCCTGATTGATGGTTTTAATACACGCCCTAGAGAAAGGGTACAATATAATTTGCACCATAACTGATTCAAAAACCAATGTGTAAGTGTGACCCATCAATGAGAACAGTGGATCCACTGGACACATCATAATCAAAAGAAAAAGGCCAAGGATTTATTAAACCACTTTACCAGTTAACCTACCACAACTATAGAGGCTAACAAGGAGGCAGACCTTTTGGCAAGGGATGGAAGCACAACATGCGCAGACAGGATCTATCTTACTAGGACTCTTCTGTTAGTCATTCTTAGCCTTAACCCTAGTCCTACTGGATCGATTTGTTATCTGAACCTAGATTCTAGATCATAACACCCCATGAGATTAACAATTGTATGCAGCCCTTCCATTTAATAACGATGTCCTTTAGCAATTAAAAAACAGAACATAAATAAATTCGAAAGAAAGGGTTTGATATATTAAAAAAGATCAATATGAATAAATCCATTACTTATTGGGTTACTTGCATCTAGATGACAAATGGTGCATAAGATAAATGAAAAAGAGCCACTTACGTGTTTGGTGATATCCTCATGCAGAACATGGGCCTTTAGTTCAAAATCCACCTGTTAGAAATCCAAATTCATCAAAAAATAAAAACTTTGCCAATGTCTCATACAGAACCATTACCACTGAATAAAAGATCTAATATAGATAAGGTTGAACATTCCAGGGATTATACTTTGAAAAAAAATTCCTAGGCGAGTAAAGCAAGTTTAGGAATTAGAGAGTATTATATAGATTAAGACTATAGGTCAAAACAATGTGAAGAGAAGGAATCGCCCTTTTTTGCACCTGCTACCTTGTTTATATTTTCTTAAAACAAGCACATCCTTCATAAAGACAAGGGAGAGGCTTGAATGTCAAAAAGAAAAAAGAATAGTAGTAAGAGTGGTATTAGATACCTTAAGGAGATGTAATCCATAATGAACTTGAACAAACTGTAACTGTTTTATTCATCTTTATCCAGGTAAAAAACGTGCAACTAACTTTCTCTTTATAACCAGTCCTAAAATATGTAACCTAATTACTAATTTTGGAATCTACAATGTTCCATGGAAACAAATCCTACAATGAATATAGAAGGACCAATGCCACTTAAATAAACTTACAACAGTAGGTCTTTTAAGCAGGCCAGCTTTTACTCTTTCACGCAAATCCTCACATTCTTCCTGAAAAACATGGGAAAATAATTACTGCAACAATAGTGAAGTCTAGAAAGCACTTCCGTCAAAGCGATTGATATTATCAGTTTTACATTACTCCCTCCGTCCACAAATAAATGTTATGGAGGGAATTACAAGATAAAATGAAATGTTTATTTAGCCCATTTTATTTAAAAATTGGTATAGAAATAAAAATAAAACTTACATATTTAAATAACTACGTCAAAAGTTCTACAAAACAAGAAGCGACATGACTATATTTTTTTATCAATTGATCAATTAAAACACATAACTACATAAATAGACAAAAGTTATTGTGACCTTAGAATAGTAACTGTAACTTTTATTTGAGACACAGGGAGTCCTTTACAACAAAAAGTGGGGGAATGAAAAGCAGAAAAAACTAGAAGAATCTAGTTAGGAGCAAACACAATTTCAAAAATTAATGGATCAAAGTTGCATGCTTTTTACCAGTGTGAAATCATCATCCGACAACAAAGATATGGGAGCATCTCTCAACCAATTTGAAAGCTGAAGGTAAGTTTCCATACAAGCATTTACAGACCCAACTGTCTTCTTCACACCTATGCACAATTTGACCTCATCACCCAACAAAATCCAAAAATGTTTCCAGAAACAACAGGCTAGATATTCTAATATAGAAAGAGACATAACCCCTTTTCAAACTTAGGAAAATGAACTGCTCATATGAATTTGAATCAATTCCTATATGATTGGCATTTAAATTTAAAGCAACTCCTATAAGATTGACATTTGAATTTCAAGCAATTCCTACATGATTGACTCTAATTAATCTTTATTATTAAGTGATTAAGTTCTGAAATGCAACAAGTGGACGATGCGAAGTGGGTCTTATAAATAAGTTCTGGATAAAAATAGTTATCCTTGTATACTCTATTTGTTTGGCTATGGGACATCAATGCAACTGCTGGTAAAACATTGTAAGAATTATTATGCTATATTTAGTCATTTCCTTGAAGGAGCTTGCCTAGCTTAAATGCACCTTAGTATAAACAAAGTTGATTAATGCACTGATATGTTTTGGCCTTTGGGAGTATTACCAGTAACTTGTTGAAGCTGGTGAGAATTTTTCTGGAGAAAATCATATGGATCAGATTTGATCCTCACAAAGCTTCCCACTAACTTATCATCAAAGTCCTCTTGATTCTTCAAAAGATCCTGAACTAAGCTCCTCTTCAAATAGAGGAGCTTAATATTTTCAGAATTCAGAGCTGCAAAACAGCTTTTGGGAGCTTCCTGGGGTTTCTTCTTGTGGTGTATTGAAGTCTTTATTTCCTTTGATATAATCAAAATACCAGTCTCCTCATCCGCATCCTCCTCTGATGAACTATTTTCTTCCTCCGAATCATCTTGATTCTCAATAAAGTGCTTTTCCAACAGCTCATAAACTTTAATCCTAGGTATTGATTTCTTCCCAAAAAGTGTACGGAGTATTTCATCACATAATATTCTCTTCTTCTTTTGCGGATTCAGAAGGTTGTTAGAATGTACATAATCAATGACTATGGCATTGACCTCATGCCTAGAGTACTCTCTATTTGTGTCTTTACCAATTGATTGGAGAAATTCAATCAAAGGCCTGGATCCCCATCCAATAAATTCTAATTTTTTTGATTTAAAGCTCCTTTTTCTTTTTAATGTGAAAGGTGTCTGATCTTTGGTTTCCTCCACCCAACAGAAATCTGCTTTCATATTGCTACAACCTTAGAAGATGCTAACCCCAGAGCATTTCAAATGAAATTTTCCCTGCATTGAAACATGCAAACAAATGGACAGGATTATGTCATCACACTAAAATCAATGAATAATAATATATTTGCTCAATTGACTTACGAAAAGCCATAACATCTTAATTAAAAGTACTGAAAAAAAGACTGCCAGAGATTAGCCAAATACGATTTTGAAAAAAATAGAAGTGGAATTGTTATAGAGATTTTCCTTATGCTTTGTTTTTTCTTGATTCATTCATGCAAGCTTTATTAATAAAAGGAAACTCCTTGGAATTAGAGTTACAAACACTAAGTAATTAATGGAAACAATGATCATCAATGTAGCTTACCAAATGTAACAACTCATATTAAATTATTAAGGAAAGATAAGTAAAAATAAAATTATAAAATCGATTGAGGATAATTGGGAATAAGTGCTGGTTTTTTACTGGTTGAGTTAATCACGCGAACTACACTCCACGAGTTATTGTTTGCAAATATCATCAATCTCCTTCAGAACATAAAGCTTTTCCTCAACACTTAGCTAAGTTTTGATGAGTTTATGTAGTGTTCGCTAAATTTCTGCAACAAGGGTGTCCTACATAAAACTTTCTGAAAAGGGTCTGGGCGCACGACCTGGTCCAAGGCCATACGGGTTGAAGGTAGATTGGAGGTTGGTGGTGCTATAGTGGTTTGGAGTAAAAGTCTCACCTCTGGCGCAGAGAGGACTTGACCTTGCATAAGATATCAAAAATACTCCAGTTAAAATCTTCCATTCCAACTAAGAGAGTACAACAAACAGCAACAAACCCTTAACCTGGTAAAATTCTAAAAAAAAGTAGGGCGGAGGGTGTGTGTAGACTATGTACGCAGACCTTACCCCTACTTGGTAGTAGAGAGGCCATTTTCAAGAGACTCCAGCTTGAGCATAATAGTACGGACAAAAGAAAAACTTAGGAAAAACACTAGCATGAATTAAGCAAGAGCACAAACACAGCTACACAAGTCGTACACAATCAACACTAGCAACAAAACTCAAATTATAGAAAGTAACCATACACAGGCTACAAATTAAGGCAAAGAAATACCATTGTAAACTACAAACTATGGTCCAAACTCCAAAGGTCTACCTAAGTACTCTAATGCTAGATCTCCAAACGTTCCTATCTAAGCTCATATCCTTGGTAAGATTATGATGTCTTGGGTCCTGTGTACTCACCTCTTTCCAATTCTTCCCAAGTCTACCTCTACCCCTTCTTGCATCTCCCCACTCGGGCTTTGACACTTCTTCCCTTCATGTGCCCAAACCACCTCAATCTAGCTTTTCGCCGTGTATCCTCCACAAGAGTTACTTCCACCCTTCCCCAAATAGCCTTAGAATAATCTCAATTCGGATTTTATCCAACCTCGTACAACCACACATCCACCTCAGTATCCTGGGACTATCCTCATCTCTGCCACTTGAAACTGGCGAGGGTAAGTTTTCTTCACTACCCGGCACTCTGCGATCTGCAACATCATGGGTATAACCAGTAACCACTGCCCTATAAAACCTCTCTTTGTATCTATGACTATTACAGACCAAATACCGATAGGAAATGGATAACCTGATGAATACCAAAGCCATTATGAATACTAAGACTTGCCATTGAGTACTAAAGCTAATAACTAAATTGCTACTACGCTACCGCTTATGATGATGACATTGCTGGTATATTCAGCCCATAAATGAAATGGTAATACTATCCAACTACGTTTTTCTTGTAGGTGTTTATACAGTGTTAGCTAAACAAATCATTAATTTGACATTATAAGCTCAATAAAATCGGCATTATAAACTTTCTTCAATCAAGTGAAAATAAGCATCAAAATAAGAATATGCTTTTAGATTTGTATATTCAAACATTATGAATATGAATATCATCTAATTTGAATAAAATGTTAAAAGAATATCCGAATACCACATACACATACTTAAACATGCACAAACATATTAAGTATAAACACATTATGATGATTTCATATAACTAAGGAAAAATTCACACAAATACTCCAGGAAATTTCTGATTTTACGTTAATACTTCAAAATTCAATAATTTACACTACTCCAAGAAATTGCTTAGTTTTATACCAATACTTCGGCTGGCAACTATGCAGGATACATGACATTTTAAATGGAGACTATAAATTATTAAGTATGTGTTCGTAACTATAGATTGATAAAAAAAATTAAAGAAAAATAATGTTTCAGACGAAATAAGGAATTTTGAAGTAATATTTCATAATCAAATTTACATTTGTTGGAAAGATCTTTAAAATATAAATTCAGCGCTATATCAACTTTAAAATTCTCTAATTTTGTCTAAAACTTTATTCCTAATTTATACGATTAAAAATAAACACTTTATTTTACAGTTTTAACACGTTTTTATTTTAAATCGACATGGAGGGGCTAAATATATAACGCATTCAAAGTTTTTTTATTTTTGTAATTAATTATCAACTCATACTTAATAATTATCCAGTCATCATTTAAAATGCCATATATTCACTTAGTTGGCATCCTGGAGTATTGGTGTGAAATTGAATAATTTATGGGAGTAGTGGTGTACATTATTGAATTTCGGAGTATTAACGTAAACTCACAAATTTCTTGGAGTATTCATGTGAATTTTTCCCTATAATTAACACTTCACACACATTCTGGGAGTTGGTTGCTTGATATTTCACTGGTGCTACTCCTACGCCAGTGCTACTCCTACAATCACTTATCACATCAACCCTGATTTCCAAGAAGAAAGGTTTTCAATTTTGTAAATAGAAATTAGCCGCAAGAATTGATTTTATTTCTATTTTTCCCTATGTTTTGCTGAAGGTCTTTCTTTTGTGTGTGTGTGTGTGGGGGGGGGGGGGGGGGGGGGNTCTGGTAAATGAACCCAACTCCCAAACAGAAATGCCCTCATTTTAAGAAATTAAGCATGTCAGAGTATAATATAACTCTTTCCATTTTTACAAATCGCAAATGTACATCCCTCCAAAACCCAACTCCCAGACCGAAATGCCCTCATGTTTAAGTAAAAAATATAAAAAAATATATGCAATTTCATCGTCCTAAGCACAAAAAAATTCAACTTTAGAATGCACATAAGGACCGAACCTTGAGAGGAGGTGTGTGTGTTTCTGACAGGGACCGCCGGGAATTTGTCTAGCACTCCTCGGGAACCAAAGGGCGCGGCCAGATACGATCGGAAGACGCAGAGGCTCCGGTGACGTTAGCTTCTGGAAGGGAAACGTGAAGTCGAGAGATTCTTCTCTCGGCGGCCGGTGAGATTTTTGAGAGGATTAGAGCAGAGTGAAAGGTAGCTCAGATGTGTGGGCAACGTGTGAAACAGTGCGGATGCGGGTCGGGTCTCGCACGGGGTTTTCATAGATTCTATCGTACGAACCGATTTGGCGAGCTCTCATCAAACCAGTCTGACCCACCGTGTAGGCTAAATTCGGACTGGACAATGGACATCGAATCGAACCACCAAAGATGTAAATGGGTCAAAGATTAGTCGATCTGATCAATTGAAATGGATCAACGACCCAATGAAATATACCCAATTGAAATGGTCACGACTCACGACCTAATTATTTTAGACTTAAATTCAGTCGATTAAAATAAGAAAAAAATACTCTTTCCGTCCTAATTCTTTCTTTCTAGTTTGACTTTTCCTCATTTTTAATTTTTGGTTTTGACTTCGAATTTTATCCTCCTTAAAAAAGATTTTTTGAAATTTTTTTTTCAATCATTCAAAATATAGAGTTAGAAGATAATTAGTGTAAATACATGAGGGTGTTAATGTCATTTGTCATCTTTTTTTCTAATGGGAAGGTAGTTTTAGGACGGAGAAAAAGGGGAAATGGGAAGAAAGTTTTAAGACAGAGGGAGTAGATAATAGCATATTAAAGGGAGAAAGATCAAAGTAGAACTAAAACATTGAAGATATACCAAAATAAGACTTGCATGTTTTTATTCCCAAAATAGGACTTACATTACCAAACATGGTCATATACATTACCAAGAAAGTATAGTAATTTGCACATGTACACTGCCACATTACCACAATGCAAAGTTACATTACCACAATACAAAGTCCTATTCCGGAAAAAAAACATGAAAGTCCTATTTTAGTACTTTTCTCTATGTTTTAGTCCTATTTAGGATGATTTCTACATATTAAATCATAATTAATATATTACTCCGTACTTGATTTTTAAAAATAAGAAAAAATTATTTCAAATAATCACACTTTTTCGCGCTCTTTCAAAAATAGTACCACTTTTCATTATCACTGAAAATAATTTTACATTTTTGCATGTGTGTAAGTTTTGAGTCACCGTTAAAAAACTAAAATCCACTTAACGAAATTTTTGGAAATTGCTTGTTTTTCACAAATAATTGGAAATTGCTTATCTTTTCTCACAAATAACTAGACAGACTTTGAGTTTCAATTACTTTCAATTTAGAAATTACTTATTTTTTTCGACCGGATCAATTGAAATGGATCGACGACCCAATAAACATTCGAGTACTCCGTAATATTTTATAATTAAATTTAGTTGATTAAAATCACAAAACACTGTCAAAAGAATTAATCTGAGAAAAAATATATTATACCATATTAAATCATAGGTAATAAATATTATTGTATACTTGATTTTTTAAAAATAAAAAGGAAATTTTAGATATAAATTTTTTATGCTTATATTTAGGTAAAGATAAATAATGCTCTTTTTTTCTATGAACAGTTTTAGAAGTTAATAAAATAGTATAATTTTTCTTTGCAAAGAAATACTGGAGTACATTGCACAAAATTGTAAGAAGTTTCTTCAAACATCTCATTCATTAAAATTGTGATGTATGTTAAATATGACAGATATATTACACTTATTGTTTAGAATATATCGTTTCCTTATTCTTCCAGACTTTACCTCCTAACGTGTATGTATAGATATTCCAACATATGATTAATAAAGTACTCAGTTTACAATATGTTATAATAAGCATGCTCACAACCCTTCTTTTTTCGATGAGATCTAGCCATCTCTGGCTTTTTTTCTCTCCCGACCACTGTTTTTTCATTTCTGCACCCAATCCGATAATTTGCATCATCATCGTCAACATCGGTGCCGCCCATCGCTGCTACTCAACCACACATAACACGTACTCACAAGTCACATCACAAAAAATGATCACAAGCTCCAGTATAGCTTTTATTAGTGATGAATGTTTGGTAGATAGCGGTACTACCAATACAATCCTAAAACATAAATATTTTTCTAAATTGTTTCCACTCAAGACACTTGTTGATACTATCTCGGGTGTTAGTGACCTAATTAAAGGCTCCGAAAGAGCATGCATCATATTACCCCCGGGTACCAAATTAATCATAATTGATGCATTATACTCAATTAAATCTAGAAGGAATTTACTTAGTTTCAAAGATATTCGACAAAATGGTTACCACCTCAAAACCACATCTGAAAATATTAGGAAATAGCAACAAATTATTTCCAATGAGAACATTTTAGAATAGCTAGAAGCTTTATCCTCTAAAATATATTGTACCAATATTAATTCTATTGAGTCATATATGGTAAGTAACCATAAGTAACTAGATAAAGACACATTTACCATATGGCATGACTGAGTAGGTCACCTTGGCAATGCACTCATGAGGTGCATAATCAAAAATAGGAACGCGCATCCACTCAAAAATCTAAAAATATTACTGCCACAAGATTTATCATGTGAAGCATGCTCTCCGTGAAAACTCATTACACGGTTTTCTACTGGCTGACGGTCGGCCAACGGACATTGAGCAGGGGAGAAGACGACAGAACAAAATCGACAGGGGAGAGGGGAAACAGACGAAAATCTACAGGAGAGAGATGGTGTGTTCCTTGTAACCCCCTCGCCTATTTAATACAAAATTAAATAGATTTTAGGGTCCAGTTTACACTTTTTAACCAGTTATGATAAATTTAGACCCAATTACCTTATTCGGCAGTTGTATCTTGGGCCCCGTAAGTCCGATTCTCAATTCGTTTGCGCGGTCGGGTTCAGAACAGCGAGTTCTACAACGTAGGTCAACTCTCGTATTAAAGATGCATATTAGAAAATAATCTTTGTTTTAACTGACTTAGTAATTAATTAATTATATAAATTAATTGAAAATACTAAGTCGGGTTACGAGGCGTTACACACTCACTGATTGTTAGACAATGTGTGTAACTCTAGAGGGGTGAATTTAGTTGTGGAGAATGTTTACCGATTTTGCAACGTGTGTATAAATAAATGAGTGTGCAGCGAATTGAAAATAAATAAGAGAAGGCAAAGAATACACTGATATATACGTGTTCATCACCTCGTGGCTAGTCTAGTTCCTCAAGAGACTCTCTTGAAGTTTTCTCTACCTATCAAACTTAATCAGGTACCAGAAAAACCATTTACAACCTACTAACGTAAGTCACATAAGCCTCAACACAACCACTTGTAGATATGTCTTCTAAAAGACTTCACGCCCAAGGCTTAAGTCACATAAGCCTTGTATAACAAGAAGAGTAATCTTCTTCAACCTTACAATAAAAACTCTCACAAGATTATAAATGAGAAAATAATTAAACTAAATGAATGACAAGAACGCTCTTTTAAAAACAAATATTTTCACTCAAAAATAACTCTTTTCAGGAAGGAATTAATGGAGCAAGATAGCCACAAGAATGAGGTATTCTCTGAGTGTTTCAAGTGTCTGAAAATGACCAAGGATGAGGGGATTACATAAGGTTAAGATTATTGAGTAGTTGGGAAAGAAACAATGATGTTTGGCTCAATTACAACAGATGATCAATAAGGAAAACAAGTGATTGATTACTCGTAGAAATGTAGTAAGTCTAGGCTGAAAATGCACAATGTGATCGATTACATGCACTATAGTGATTGGTCATTTGGAGTGTCGATTACATGCACTATGGTGATTGGTCATTTGGAGTGAAAAATCTCCATGAAGGGTTTCAACGACCCTATGATCGATCACGACCAAATGGTAATTGATCACCTAGGCTACACTTCGAAAAATTAAAGCAAGTCTTTGAACACCTTTAAACACCGTGAATGACATATAAAGGCTAGTAAAGGTATCCCCCAAGAAAAACAAAGATGAGAGTGATTTTTTGATGCTCCAATGATGACTCCAAATTCAACTTTAAATTTATGATGAGTTGGGGTAAAAAACCGAGTCCGACAAAATATTTTATGTGTCAGATAATGCTCGGAAATATTTAAATAAAATAGTTTTGTCACCTAAAATATTTTCTAGTATCAAAATAAATGTTTCGTTAAATGTTTGACACACTTTTTGTAACTAACTCAATAAAAACATTTTTCAATAATTACAAAATGATCTTTCAACCGACCCCAAATAAATACTCCCTTTGTCCCAAGTTATTTCATGTTTTCCTTTTCGGGATGTCCAAAAAAGGCTTCTTGTTTCTTTTTTTGAAAATATTTTTGTGGCTCACTATATTTCTCTCTCCTTCATATCACTTTCAACCACCCAATTTCATTTTTCTTAAAGTTTGTGTCAAATCCAACCAATAAGATTAATTTGGAACAGCGAGAGTATAATTTTTATATAACTCTTGTAAAAATAGTTTTGGTGTGAAGATTGTTTTTTTCATCATTATACTATTTTCTAAGACTTGAATAAAATAAAGTTCTTCAAAAATCTTGTTCTTCACACCCGTCAAGCACTCTATTAGGGATCTCGATATTCAATAAATCTTGTACTCTTGAATACTTCAAGGGATTTGGCACACTAAGTCTTTGCATTTGTCAATAAAGTACTTTATTCATGACTTGAATAACTTGCGTTTAACTTGTGTTTGTTATCAAAATCTATGAGTGAACATTTCACATGAAAAACATGATTGAACTCATGCATTCCAACACTGATTAGTGTTGCTGTTTTTTCAAGTAGACATTGTGGTAGGTTTAAACACATTGGTAATGTACCTTCCCTTGTCAGTTTGTCCTTTGCCATGTGCGACAACTTGCAATAGTTACCTCCATTTACTTTCATAACCTCTAGCATGACATGTTGAAAGCTTAACCAAACCTTGTTAAAAGTTTCTGCATAAAGTTCATCATAGGCCCCATGTACTACCTCAAGTAATTTTGATACATTAATTGGGGCACACTTCTCCTTCAATGACAGAATAGCCCTATTCTTACTTCTTCAATGCTGCAACAATTTCAATAAATGGAAAGATACCCCCCTTTCTATCCCATATAACATATCCATTTTCAAAAATTATTGGTCTACCGACAATACACAAGAATATAAATTTTTTAATGAATCACTTTAGCTTGCATGTCCGATGTGGGTCTAACTCGTCCAATCTTGAGTAGAACTTTTGAGAGATCTTAGACATAAAAAATAACTATTTGTCAATGTGCACTACTTTACGAAAAGATTTTAACGAAGGGTTAAAAGGTATACTATTAGGGTCCACCTGGTCTAAATAGAATTTCTGTCTTTGTATTGTGTTTGCTTCACTTAAAAAAGGCTTAACAGCATTTGAGAGGCTCCTAAACAAACATCTTTTAAGGAATAGATGATGGTGGGCATAAACATACCCAACGCAGAAGTTAATGCTCTAATGGTAGTTCTTTTGCGCAATGGAATTTGTTGAATAGATCCCACGTCAATCACCAGCCTTATCTTACCCGCATGACTTGCTAACTTGTTTCTAACATCAATGGCAATCCCATCTTTAAGTTGTTTCCTAGCTATGCCCTATATACTACTTTCTCCGTCCCAGAGTATTTGTCCACTTTCATTTTTACACATCATTCAATGCACTTCTTTAATCCATTTTATCTTGTAATTTGTATATTAAAAAATTTTAGAAATTATATATTAATAATCTATATGTTAAGACAAATCAAACAAGATCACACATGACTATATTTAGGCTTACACATTGAGAGAATTTGATGAGTCAAAGTGCTTAGATGAACAGTTCCAAAAGTCAAAACTGGATGAATATAGCGGGACGGAGGTAGTACTCACTATTTTTCTCGAGATTTTATAATCTGAAGCTAACTTGTTGATTATGCCTCTTTGAGCTGTGTATTCTTCAGTGAACAACCATTTTGAATACTTTAAGTTTCATCAATTATTTGTTGTTTGGTAGTGTTAAAAAACCGTTTGTACATTGATTGGTGGTCTGATAACCCTTTATGGTTGCAGGTTTGCAGAAGAGAGAGAGGCAGAAGAGCGAGATGCAATAGTCATGGTTCGAGACAAAAAGGGTTACTGAAAGTATCAAAAGAAGAGAAAAGGAGGGTAGTAGCCAAAGTTCTAAGAATAGAAAGTTTCTTCTATTTATAGATGAAGATTGGCTACACTTTTTAAATTTTGGCTAAATTTTTTTGGAGAGAAGTGTAAATAATTGTTCATTTAGTTAGAAAATTAAAATATTGGAAGAAAGTGTAAAAAAATTTCTTTACAACACAATTGTGTAATGATTAATGAATAATCATTTGTTGTACTCCCTTTATTTGTTTAAGTTTGTCACTTTGTTTACAATACTTTTACATTAGGTTTTTATCTAATGTAAAAGTTATATATAATCAACAACAAAAATTTGTAAAGATTAACTTGGGACAGAAACACTAATAAATAATAAAAGTCTTTTGATTTAATTCTGGTTTGCAAGGAAATGTGGAAGTACTATTTATGCAACATAAATATTTTTATCTAGTGTAAAAGTTAGATATAACAAAAACTTGCAAAGTTTAAATTGAGACAAAAGCACTACGGAATACGGAGTAATAAATAACAAAAGTTTTTTGGGTCAATTGGATGAGAGGGGGACTAGGGAGAACCATTATTTTTTTTTCGTGTTTTGCAGCTCATTTCCTTATTTCCGATTTTCCGGTATAACATGCCGCGGCGAAGCCAGCACTGGTCGCAGCGCGCGGCGCAATTGAGAAACTGATAAAGCTTCAAATACAATCACTCGAATCCATTCGCCGCTCTCTTCTTCGACATCACTCTCCGCCGGTAAGTTAATCATATTTTCATATCCACTCGTTTACACTGTGTTGCCTGTTCAATCCCGCATCTGCGGTTACCAGTGTTATAGATTTACTGATTTTTTTTAGAATTTACATAGGTTTCATCTAGCAATTTCTGAATCTATGCAGTTTTCCTGTAACCAATCTGAGAAACGAGGCTATTTTTAAGAAGAAAGTTAATACAGGGATTTCTTTTCTAGGGATTATTGAGTAATTGTGGAGAAGTAATAATTGAATTATCAAAAAATAGAAAGAAAAAATTCAGCATCCCTGGAGATATCTAAAATCCTCGAATGTATGCTGTAGAACTAAGGCTGTAGAACCCAATTGTTGCTAGAATGGGTATCTTTATCGCATGGAAATGATGGAACTCCAGAAATGGAGATTCAAAAATTTGGGGCGGAGTGGCCGTGGATTGAGTAAATGTAGTCACTCTCTATTTTCATATTAAACTAAAAATTCTTCACACTCTATTTTGAAGGACTTGAATATGCAATATGAAATGTTTTCACATATAGCCATATAGGTGATTGGATCTAAAGGGTTGATAGGTCATTATTTATTGGCTGAATAAACGAGATGCTCATTTTGAAGAATTGAAAAAGTATTCTATCAATTTAGTACGTACCCAAGACAGATGCAACACCCCACGTTGTTTTGGAACTCTCATATTCAAAAAACTTACAGTTCATTTCAGTATGTAGTTGTTATTGTTAACAACTATTGGATTTGATGGGGTAAACTGCTTTGACCGGGTGGTCTAGCTCGGAGACCCGGTTGATAAGGTACCACCCAAAAAGCCCTTTGTTTTCTTCATTCTTGGGTTTCATGAACAAATTGCTATCTCTATCATGTGGTGTGGCATTGACCGGTTCCCATGCCGGCTCAACCCAATCGGCATGGTTCCCCTGGCATGTGTGGTTGTTTGGACTATCCAGATTAATTGCTATTCGCTTTGTCCCAAAAACTTGTGCCTACTTTGACTGCAGATTAGGCACAGTTTTCTATAAAGTGAGAATTGCATGGTTGATATTCAGGAAGAGAAGAAAGAAATACTGTGATCCGCATGATACTTTCTATAAATGAACACAATCACAATAAATTGGGACGTTCAAAAGGAAAACATGCATAACAAACTAGGACAAAGGGAGTAATATACTTTTTTGGTTTTTAAACCGTTAACATACTCTCTCCGTCCTGAATTGAGGTTCCACATTGGACCCGACACTAGTATTAGAGAAGGTGAAATTGAGTGGTTGAGAGTTATGAAAGGAGAGAAATGATGTAAACCATGTAATCATTCCTTTAAAAAGAAAGTGGAACCTTATTTTGGAACAAAAAAATGATACGTGGAATCTTTTCTTGGGGCAGAGGGAGTACTATAACATGAACTTTTTTCAAAATGTTTTGTGCAAAGGTAGTAGGAGTTGAGGATGAAACAACTCAAAATATTTAGGGAATGAAATCAGTTCTATCGTTCATTTCAGATATGGAAGAAAATGCTCAACGCTCTCCACAGATAGTCTCTCCTGTTGAAGTTGTTGATGCAAAGTACATTGCAAAACTCAGTACCATTCTCGTTGCCACAATCCAGGAAGCAAAAGACAGGATATCTCAGATAGAATATATATTCTGCAGTCAACTTTTCCCGAATTTCCAGTCAATGTCTAAAAGTGTGCAACAAATATTTATGGAGGCAAAGGATGCTGCTGAAGCAGCATGGAAAGAAAAAGAACATGACCTATTGGTCCAAATGGAAAAGAACCTGGCTGCAAAGCAGCAAATTCTTGAAGAAAACCTGGCTCTGAAGTCAGAGAATGCGAAGCTATTGGATGATGATTTTTTATGGAAAGAGCATTTCAAAGAGCTTCAAGAAAAGATAGATCACAGAAGCATTGAACTGAATAATTTAAGGGCAGCATATGAAGAGTTAGGTAAGCTTTGTGAATCAAAAGATTCACAAATCCACAAATATGAAGACATGCTGAAAGAACTAGAACACAAAAATGTTCGTCTTTCAGAGACACAACAAAATCTGGAGCTTGAAGTTCAGGGATTACAGATTGAACTCAAGAAGAAATCAAGAGAAATTGATGGAGAATTAGAATTGCAACAGAAGCTAGTTCAGATGGCTCAAGAGAAAGCTACTTCCGTGGCATACAAAGAAAGTCAACTGAAGAAATGTGAAGAGAAGATAGAAAAGCTTCTTGCCAAACTTGAAGAAGCACAGAGAAAGATTGGAAACCTTCAAGATGAACTGACAGAAAAGAACACTGCAATGGAAAAATCATTGGAGGTACAAGAAAATTTAATTAAAGAAGTTCAATCCAAGGACCTGGAGAATGAACAAATATTGAGTAGATTTCATGGTGAGAAAGAAGTATTTGTGGCAAAAGTAAAGAATTTGGAAAGTCATGTTGATGAGCTTCAGGTAGAATTCAGGAAGAAAAATGTTGAAGTTGAGGAGGGAAGGAAATCACAAGAACAGCTGCTCAAACAGATTGATTTATACTGCCTAGAAAGATCCAAGACAGGGAAGAAGTTAGAAGAGCTTGAGAAGGAGAAGAACCAACTGCTTGCCAAAGTAAAAGATGTTAAGGAGAAAAGTGAAGAGCTCCAAGCAAATATTCAAGAGAGAAGCAATGAATCTTCTGAGGGATTGAAGTTACATGGGAAGTTACTTCAGCAAATTAAAGCAAAAGACTCAGAGCTGTTGTCGGCAAAGAGTAAAATTAAGGAAATCAGTCGTGCTTATAAGAGTTTGAAATCTCAGTACAGTTTTGTTTGCGCAAAAGCAGGTCTTACACCAGAAAACATGAAAACCAAAACCAAACCTGGAGAAGAAAGTGAATTGAGGAATAACCAAAGTCATCTAATTAAAAACGGTAAATCTCGAAGTCCTTATGCTTTATTGAAGTCCATACTCAACTGACAGAGCATCTCCAACATCACCCAATTAAAATAAATATGTGTTGGTTATACTCAATAGAAAATGGAATCAATTTTTTTTCCTTTTAGTTTTGTTCTGGACTAACCACTATTTCAATTGTGTGTGATCCTAATAGATGTCGAGACTGGAGTTCCAAAACCTAAGAGCATTTCATGTGAAGGGCCAAAGCTTGAGAATATCGTTGAAAAAACAGGAAATGGTGTAGTTGTCAAATCAGTTCAAAGATTAAGTTCTGTAACACCTCTTACTGGAAACACTTCTATAGCCCCTAAAGAGCCCCTGCACGTGAAGTCTTGCCTGCCAGCTGGCACAAAGCGTCGTGGATCTTATTGGAGAGATACTAGGTCCCATCAAAGCCGAGTTGGACCAGATCCTCATGATGATTTTCTTGATACACCCTTGGAGAATGTTAGAAGACATCCAGGAAATGCCACGAGGGATGATGATATTCCAAATCTTCCAAAGGAAGCTCCTCAAGTCAGAGATCCTGAAAACTCAGATGATGAAACACAAGACATGAATATTGATCAGAAGAATCCTCAAAAGAAACAAGTTCCATCTTTAAGGCCCGGGTCATCAGGGGTCAAATACATTGAACCCGTTCGGAAAAAATCTGAAAGGGAAAAATTGAAAGGGATTGAATGCAAGCAGTGCAAAAAGTTCTACGATGTTGTGCTTCCTTCTGATGGTAAGGACTTGGGTGCAAATACACACAACTTACGGTGCGAGCACCATGATGGGGTATCTAGGCATCGATATCGGTACGTCCCTCCTTCCACCCCCGAAGGGTTTTGGAACATAGGTTTTGAAACAGAATTGTAACTTCTTTTGGTTTGGGTGTCCATTTTCATTTCTTATTGTGCAATAAAATAGGAAAACAAACTGAAAATTGTAGACGATATATAGATTTGTTCATGATTTAAAGAAAAACGCAGTATAAAAGAGGGATTGGCATGTTTTGTTTTGCACTCCTTAACCAGTATTAGCATCAGGAATCCATATTTCAGGTATTCAACAGCCATCACTTGCCAGGATGCAGGTACGCAATGAGCTTACTTGAGCTTTTTTCTATTATTAGTACAAGTAGTTACTTTGTGGGTTAAATCAGTTTCTAGTTTTCATTATTATGTATACATATAAGGCTAAGTGCTTTTTTTACATGGCTGAACTCGGTATCTAGTATTAATCTTAATCTTAGAATGTATGTTGATATATATATATATATATATATATATATATATATATATATATATATATATATATATATATATATATATATATATATATATATGTTTACACTTCCTCTATTTTGTACAAGTGTTTCCTAATTCACAATTAAGAATGAGTATTTATGAATTTCTTCTCATTAAGTAGTCTAATGAGTAATCACATTTGAAAATTCTATCAATTCTTCAGCAGAGGGAGGCTATTTCTCATCTTGGTTTTTGCATTATTATTATTATTATTATTATTATTATTATTATTATTATTATTATTATTATTATTATTATTATTAGAAATTTTACATAGTGCACAAAATGAGTTTTTTTGGGTAAAAAAAAAGAGAATACTACGGAGTATTTGACACCGCAGTTTAGTATTTTTGAAAATTCATACATTACAGTATTTCAATTTGCTTCTTCAATAGAGTATTGAACCCTGGGGATCAGATTCCATCATAAAGGCAAAATTTCATTCATGAGTAGAAAATTAAACTGTTAGTGGGGTAATTGTAATCCATTTAAAGTTTAGTACTCTTTCTGTCTCATAACAAAATTTACAAATTCCCCTCATAGAGATAAAGAAAAATTCTAAAGTGTGTTTGAATTTCGAATTTTGACCCTAAAATGACATTTATGTGATGTGGGTAATAAGGGAGTGTAAAAGTGGGTGGAAAATTAATACTCAGAGGGTACAAAAAGTGATTGAAAAATGGTAGAGGTATTATAGGAGTAATTTATTTGGTTTACTAGTTATTCCAAAAGTGTGATTTTAGTTGCACACTATCCTTTAAATATTCTTTTAAAAATTTGAATATTAAATTTCCAAAATTAGTGGTTCTTATCTTCCTGCACTTGAAAAATTACTCTGTATGTGGCAATCAAAAAAGAAGAAAAATTAGGTACCATTGCCTGTGGACGGAATGGATCTTACGGAAAAAGTAAGAACACAAATACTTAAGCACCGTCACTTATGAAAAAGTAAAAAAAATACTTGAGTGCCGTTAAAATTTTATCCAAAATGCTAATGCTAATTGAAAATGCCATTTCCAAAGGGCTTCTCTATGTTTTTTTACTTATCTCTTCTATTAGATCTAAAATAGCATACTTTTTGAACTAAGCTACCACTTAAGCGCCAATTCTTGCACCAATTTCCGGGGTAAAAAAGTTGTGTCATACAAACAATTCTTGTGTGTGCGTCCCATTTGGTTTTTGTGTGAGTAGTTCAGAAATGATAGTACAAGTTATTGGCATTGTCTTTTCTTTCTACTTTACTATTTTTAAGTGTAAATGACTCGACTAAAATGTAATATTTGTTCATACTATTTTTAATTTAATAATGACGCCAACGATCAATTGTCTCCACCTCCGATGGGGCTCGAATATAGGTAAACTTTCCCATGAATATTCAGAAATGGATTTTTCTATCATTCAAGACAAGGAAGTTGTAGACATCACATTTTAGACAAATGAAGTTCATTTCTTCTTCCACATTTGAGCCAAAATCTACCATTACAAATGGGGCTATATAAGATTAGTGATGAAGTAGGATCTACAAATAATGTTGATAATTAATTAACGTGGAATGGAAACTCACATGGCCTTGTCCCCATGCATTTGCTGAGCCGTTGGGACACGACACCGACTTTTGTTTTTTGCCAAACTTTTGTTGTACCATTTCTTTCTTTTTAATGCACCATTTGCCGGCCGTTGGGCAGATTTTGTTAGCAATAGTAATGTCTTATTCATAGCAACGAGAGCAACAAACACGGCATCAACTGAATTCTGTTACGTATGGAGAGTTCAATTGGTCTTTGAAGTAGAATTTAGAACATGAGATCTATGCTCGAGTCTCACCAGCGGTAGTATGAGAGCAACCTCTCAAAAAATAAGGTAGGCTCTTTGTGCGTAGTGAGCAATGGTCCCAGCCTCTGTTGCCGGTTGAATCATCATGATTTACCTCACTCACAATCTCGTCAGGTAGGGGGCGAGAAGCGCTCGGGGAGAGCGATTTCGCCTTTTTGGAACAAGATACTCCGTGTAATAAATGTATTTGCAGTGCACACTATATATATATATATATATATATATATATATATATATATATATATATATATTCAACTAAAACACTAAATAATCAGTAAAATATTGAAAATATACTAAAGTAAAAGTTACATATTTTTATTCCCAAAATAAGAGCTAAAATTCATATACAGTGCCAATCACGACCATATGCATTACCAAAAAATATTATGAAATGTTCATATGCATTACCACAGTAGAAACTCTTATTTTGGGGATAAAACATAGACCTCATATTTTGATACTTTCGCTATATTTTACTTCTATTTAAGGTGATTTTTTAACCTATTGAGGTTTAGTAAGTTATCACTCCCACTAAAGTTTAAACAAATTACACCCTATCTAGGAGAGTCATAACGATGTCATTGGACGACGAAATCTTTGGCAGTTTGTAGTTTGTACTCCGTATTAAACTTATAATAAACGGACGGACATTTTAAATATATTTTTCAAATTGATTTTTCAAAGTAATGGATGAAATTCTACACAAGAAAAAAAAATCGGAGTATATTTTAAGATAAAATTCGGTAATCCGACCTACACTACTTGTCAAAAGCCTCAAATGAGGACAAAAGATGTGAACATATCCATCTTTATCACACTTTAAAATTATAAGTAAAAACAAATTTTACGGAGTAAAAGAATACAAACAAAAAAATGAAAATAAATTATTGTAGGGTATTTGACTATGTCAATATATTTAATAAAAAAAATCCGCAATCTGTAATTCTAAACCCACAAACTTATAAAAATGTTGTACAGAGTCCAAATATTTAGTTCAAGTGGAAATTCGAGTTAATTAACTATATTTAATATTGTATTAATACAAATATATACTCCGTATATAGTACACTCGAGCAAAAAAAATTATACTCAATCACACATTTTTTTGTGTTTTGCAAATTCAATTGCTGAAATTATTTATTGGATAAATATTGTAATTTATTTTTTAAAAGTATTATGTCGTGTATGCAAACTATAAAATGGTTGAACGATATGTATTGCGAAAATAATAGAAAATTTAATATAAATTTTGATTTAAAAATTTGTGCCATTATTTATGTAAATTGAACTAAATAAATTGAATTAAATTTTATAGAGAATAATTTAATTAAGTACGTATTATAGGTAGGGGTGGGCTTAAATCATTTACAATGGGGGGATTCTTGTCTCGTCTCATTGTGTGTCACATCAATATTTCTTTCTTTTTTAGTCTCGCCCAAAAATATTCTATTGCTATCGTCCCATCTCTTTGTTTCTTTTACAATATTAACCATTTTTTTATTAAAAATTTAAATAAGTGAAAGAGTACAAATTAAATTATTTTAATTAATTAAAAATAGCTCATAATATAATATAAAATATATATTTTTAATTATAGTTGACCGGGCCATTGACCCGGGCACTACAAGAAATTTGGTATTTTGGCGCACTTAAAACAGTTGTTCGCCACACTTATAAATGTGGAAAAAAACAATTTGCTACACATAACCTAAGTGCGGCTACGTAAATGTGGGGAATTTTTCAACGCATTTTTAAATAAGTGTGGCTAGTGAATATTTTAGCCACACTTAGTAAGTGTGACTAATATTCTATTTTGCCACACTTATATGTGTTCTTCAACCGACCCTTGATCGACCCACTCGCTCGTTCGGGTCGATGTCTGATTCGGTTTTTAGATCAGAACATTACTTGGAGGCCTAAATATATAACCAGTACGTGAGTAACCCAAGCTTCGTTCGGAGATCTCTGAAGAAGGGGATTGGCGTGCTATGGCGGGGCTGCATTAGGAGAATTGAATCAGTGATGGTAAATCTACTTATTCTATTTAAAATATGCAATGGCTGCCTCGAGAGGATAATCCTTTTCTTAAAATATGCAATGGCTGCCTGGAGAATCAATAAAAACATGCATACAAGTACTCCGTATTAGTTAGTTAGTGAGAAACCATAATAAAAATTGAAAAAATTAATTTGGAAGGAATATATAACTCGAAATAAAGTTGGCAACGATTTTGATTGGTAAGGAGCAGTAGCTGAGTATTTATTGCACAAATGATACATGCAACATGGCAAGCGATTGGACAATTACACCCATAAATAAAGCAATTAATTAATTAATTACTTAAAATCGTATCGATTACTTATAATACAGTAAGTAATTAACAAGTACGTAATGGCGATCCGCACAAGCAATCGTTGTTGGAGAAAGAAGACGCCTCGAGGTGGTCGAACGGCGATCCCGTCGGAATCGTGCCGCAGAGATGGTTGTTGCTCAGATCCAAGTGCCCGATGTACTTCGCCGACGACAATGATCTCGGCACTCTGCCTCTCAGGTTGTTGTGGGACAGATCCAGAGCCGTGAAATACGTCCTCGATCCGAAAACGTCCGGCAACTCTCCTTCCAGCGAGTTCCTGCTCAGATTCAGGATGTTTAATCCCGAGCTGCCGAGCAGATCGGCGGGTATCCCGCCGGAGAGGCGGTTGCTATCGAGATTCAAGGTGGAGAGAACCGCCATCGATCCCAGCTGAGCCGGGATTGAGCCTGAGATCTGGTTCATCGATAGATCTAGATCTGCGAGGCGGCGGAGATTTGCGATTGAACCGGCCGGGATCGGACCGGTGAGTTGGTTTTTGTTGAGAAGGAGGCGGCTTAGCATCTGGAGGTTCCCGAGATTTTCGGGGAGTTCGCCGGAGAGCTGGTTGCCGCTGAGATCTAGGTGTTTTAGGCTGCTCAGGTTGACGATGGAAGGGGGTATGCTGCCGGAGATTCGGTTGTCGGCGAGGTTGAGAACAATGAGCCGGGTCAGCTGCCCGATGTTGGACGGAATCGGGCCGGTGATTTGGTTCCCGACGAGGTCGAGGATGCGGAGGTTGGGGAGCGTGGCGACGCACGGCGGAATCTCGCCGGAGACGGCCTTCCAGTCCGCCAGAATCAGTGTGCTCAGGCGGTCTAGCTTGCAGACCGAGGGCGAAATCCGGCCCTTCATGTACCCGGACCGGCCGGCCTTCTGAAAGACCTTGTCCTCCGATTCTCCCCGGAGACTGAGGTCCGCCACCCGTTTCGTGGCAGGGTCGCAGCTGACGCCGTACCAGGCGCCGGAGCAGCAATCGGTGCCGCTCCACGTGTCCAGAATCCCCAAGTACGGCTCGTCCAGAGCCGCCTTGACGTCAAGCAGAGCAGCCAGGTCCGCCGGCGAGCAAGCATAGACACAAAGGTCAACGGAGGAAATCAGGACCGCCAGAGCGGCCAACAACAACCGTCTCAGCTCCATATCTCCGGCCGGAAAAACAACCGCTGCAATAAATCACCTTCTTCTCGGCGGGTATATCTTTAATAAAGACGAGAGTGGAAGCTAATAATGGATGGGGGGCGGATAAGCAAGTGGTTATATAGATACAGAGAAGCAAGCACGTATAATGAATGCATGATTATGAAGAAGAGCTACCATTGGTGGGGCCATTTATCATCTCCTAATTTTTACTCTACTCTAAGCTTAGAGGACATAAATGGCCTTAGATTGAGAGGGATTTTCAACTCAGTCACTTGTGTGTGTGTCAATATGTTTATCTAAACACAATTTGCATGTGGACGTACTTTGAATGGATCGAGATTCGAGAATAATTTTTTTATTATTATCAAAAAAGTGGAACATGGAAGAAAGAGTAAATCACTGCCAACCATGTTAGGGGTACACCAAAAAGTACACCCCAAAAAGATACATCGGCATTTTAACGATTTACACAAGCACAAAATACTAGTTCAATCAAAAAAAATTACATTGACATTTTGTGTCAGTGCAAATCATCAAACTAATATTACACTAACACAAAATCTTGGTGCATACCTTCAAGATACAAAATGGTGTACAATTTTTGATATACAAATACGTCAAATAGCTTAATCCAAACCATACCATAATATAATCTTTCTATGATCCTTAGAAAAATCGTCTCATGACCGGTCCGTACAAAGAGATACTTCTTCCGTCCTGCAATTGATAAAATATTTTTGTAATGTCCTGTTTCGTAGAACTTTCGTAGTCTTTTAACAAGTAAATTTTATGAATTATTCTTATGCCCGAGTAACAAATTTTAAATAAATTCACTTTAAAAAGCAAATTTTGCCTCGTGAATAAGAAATTGTAATTTAATTTAACTTTATCATTGTCATTGTCGATAATCAAACCTAAGACCTCGAACTTATTATCACTCTTTCCTCATGACCATCTAATTAGCTGCAGGTCGCGAATAATTTAAGTATGTATCTCAGGTAAGGATGGGGATACTAGTCTTGGAACTGCATGTCAAAATCGATCTGTGCAATCCAGAGCGAGTTAAGGAGAGGTGCAATATTTTAATTTCTAAAATATGAAGGGCCAAATCGGTTCCTTTGTTTAAAGGGGGCAAGCCAATTCTCAAATCTTAAGAGTATGAGTAATGACAAGTAAAGAATGAAATGCCAGACGCTGACGTAGGATATTTTAATCAGTGAAAAATACTTTAGTCAGTATGTGTCAAGTGAGTAGAGTGTCAAGTCTTACACTAACAAGTCATTGCTTTTATTATCTTTTTACCTTTTTTGACATATTTGAATTATTAAAAAGTATTATACTTATTTAATTAATCATACAAATATGACTACTTACTCAAAAAATCCTTAAAAAAAGAAAAAGAAAAAAATAAAATGGGTACAAGATTACCACACTCATAAGAAAGATAATATTGTATCTAAATTTAGACACTTTGCTCTATTTTTTTAATTATTAGATATTAGGGTTTTTATTTCTTCTCAAAACTTAGTCACTTTGTTTTAAACAATTGATTATATTGTTGAAACATTTTCTTAACGAATATTATGGTTATTAGTTATATTACGTAATATAATTGGAATGTATGTTAATGAATATTGTAGTTGTTGCACTTATATTATGTTTTTAAAATTAGAGTTTGTCTTTGGAATGCCTTGCACCTATAATGGTTTGTGGGGTGAAACAACAATGGCGCGCTCCAATTTTTAGATCCATTGTCTATGTGGCAGTGCAAGGCAACTACTCTACTCGCGGCTATTACTCTTCTCATAATAAATGAAAATTTGATGCAAAATTTATCTTATACAGCTTTGATACGATTTATATCTATTTTTCATTCAGCTATTCAAGTCTAGCCATATTATATTGACTCTTTGAAATCAGATGTCACATGTTCAAACTCCAAATAAATGGCAACTTTGCACGCTAGTTTTTTTTATGTATGTTTGTATATGTGTGTAGTGTGTGTGTGCACGTGTGTGTATTCTTTTTTAAAAAAATATGTTTATTAAGATAGTGAAAACAAGAGATACAATAGTTGCCTAGAGACCAAGGTTGGCACCTAGAGCTTTTAAACGTGAAAAATACCAAAGCTAAGAATAGAAGACTTATGCAGTCTTATACTCCCTCCGTCCCTAAATAGATTACAATTTTTTTTTCTCTCCTCTCGATAACTTTTGTTTGTTTACGCGATTTCATTAAGTATTTGATAAAATAAAATATTTTTGTCACCTCTTGTTTTGTAGAACGTTTGACGTAGTTTTTTAATATGTAATTTTTATATCTTATTGATGTACCAATTTGTAAATAAAATGATTTCAAAAAGTAGAAAATTTTATTCCGTAACCCGCAATTTGTAATCAAATTGGGGACAGAGGGAATTCTCAAAATAGATTTATCACTGTAACGATATAATATTGTTTTTTCTTACTTCATATTTTTTGTAATTATATTTTAGTATTTCAAGTCAAATTTTGAGGATAGAAATATACTACTTCCGTCCCGCTATATTCGTCCACTTTTGACTTTTGGAACTGTTCATCTAAGCACTTTGACTCATTAAATTCTCTCAATGTGTAAGCTTAAATATAGTCATGTGTGATCTTGTTTGATTTGTTTTAACATATAGATTATTAATATATAATTTCTATAATTTTTTAATATACAAATTACAAGATAAAATGGATTAAAAAAGTGTATTGGATGATGTGTAAAAATGAAAGTGGACAAATATTGTGGAACGGAGAGAGTAAAATTTTATTTTTATTCATTCTTTATTTTACTCTCATTTTAATCATTCTATCATTCATTCGAGGGAGTGAATTTTTCTCAAAATCAAAAGATCTCTTCAAAATTAAGCAACCAAAGTCCAAAACAACCACAAAACTAACAGTGGGAATATTTCTCATTTTACCTTTTGCCATGAAAAAGGAAGAAAAGAGAAAAGCAAAAAGTGAGACACGGTGGGATTGTGGGAATGGACCATGCTACAGTGCACCCACCCCTGCCTCCTTATTTAACCTTTTTTTTTTTACTTTTTCTCCTTTTTTCTTTTTTCTTTTGTCTACGGCCCATTTGCAGGTCGCCGCCGGCGGGTTCGAAAAATCCTGGTTGAATTGTTATCAATCATCGGCAGATTCAAAAAATCAATCCGAACATATCAATCCCCGGCGGGTTCGAAAAGTCCCACGACCGAGCAATTTTGCACCCAACCGTTCCGGATCCGTTCGTGCGGCCGACAAAGAGATTGCTTCACCCAGTTTTGTAAAGGTACTCCCTATTTTGTTAATTTAGGAGTACTATTTGCACCCAAAGTGGGAAAATAGGAGTTTGTTTCCTTTTCCTTGTTGCCGTGTAACAAAAAGAAAAGGGCCGATTCTGCAAAAAAAAAAGAGAGAAGTGGTTTGCTGGATTTTTTGTGTTGTCTCAAAGATTTAGACCTGATTTTATATGAGTTGCAGCCGAGTTGTAAGTGTTTATATTTAGACCCCATTCTATATTCAATTGAAGTTGTGAAAAAAATTGTTTTGTTTTTGTATTACAGAGATTAAAGTTTTGTGAATCTAGAGTTTGTCCTTGTCACAGACACTAATTATCTGTATGCACTCTGCATTTGGTGTATTATTGTTTTCTTCATAGTCAGGTATTTTATTATATTAAAGGTACTGTAACAATGGTCAATGTCCTTCTAAAGGAAACAAAGGTAGCGTGCCTGAAGTGGGGATGAAGTTTACAAGCATTGAAGAAATTCGAGAACACTATCTGGCTTATGCTCGAAGTGTAGGATTTCCAATGCGGACTAGGACAACTCGCAAAGCCAAAGATAGAACTCCTAGAAGTGTTACATTTGTGTGTAATCGACAAGGAAATAAAAAGAGCAAAACACAAGATGTGTTCCACCCTTTTTGCTTTTTGCTTTTTGTGTAAAGTATGTAACAAGTATGATAACTTTCTCTGAGTTCCCTGCACATAAACTAATGTAAACCTGATGTAAACCTGATGTAACTCTGTCTTCACATACATTAAGTCTCTGTGAAATCTGTAACATAGACAGTTATTCCATGTGAGCACCAAGAAATCTAATGCATGCATTTTAACTTTGTTTTTAGCTATACAAGACCCCCACATATGTGATGAGATTCTGAAATGGTGTATGTGCATAAAGTTAAGTAACTCTGTCGTCACATAGATTAAAGCTCTGTGTAATGGGTAAAATAGACAGTTACTCTCTGGGAGGAATCTGAAAGTAAATCTGTAATTCAGTCATAAACTAAGGTAAATCATTCATCACACACAGTAACAGATTGTACATTATCAAGTAGAAATTCATGATGATAAAAGCCTCATTACAAAAAAATCAAAAAAATCTGAAGTGCATAACATGACTTGAGTTTTACGAAATCTAGAACTTCTTTTGCATCAGATTTAGAACTTTGCTCTCATTTTTTTGGAATGAGCATGGGAACTATAAATCACATAGCTTTTTGTTTTTTTTATTTTTTGTGTAAAGTATGTAACAGATAAGATTTAACTTTCTTTTTACCTTTACAAGACCCTCACATATGTGATAAGATTCTGAAGATGATGTATGTGCATAATGTTATGTAACTCCGTCGTCACATATATTAAAGCTCTATGGAACGGGTAAAATAGACGGTTATTATCTGTGAGGGCTTTGAAAGTAAATCTGTAATCCAGTCATAAACTAAGGTAAATCAGTCATCACACACAATAACAAAATGTGCATTAACAAGTAGAAATTTATGATGATAAAAGCTCCATTACAAAGCTTTCAAAAAATGTAAAGCTAAAGTGTTTCCCCAAAAAATACATTACAAAGCACAAAAACAATTATAAAGAGTTTCACAAAAATTAAAGACCCCTAAAATTGTAAAGTAAAAAAACTAAATATTGGTTGTTTTCCTTCCACACCATAACCTAGCTGCAAATTGACATCGGAAATCAACCATGTGTTCAGAACTACAGTTCAGACTTAATGGTAAGCCAACCAACAAAGACTCTAGAAATGCAAGCACCATCACTCCACAATTGTCATACCTGCAAGGGAAAATAGTATTAAAATAAGTAGGGAGTATAATTTTAACCCGTCCATGGGAGTAGCATACAATTCACAGAAAGCAAGCAAAAATAACAAGCAGACCTCTTTCACAGACAATAATGTTATATGAAATTCAAATAACAGAACTTAACCATCTATGCCATACAATTCACAAAGTAAGCAAAAATAAGAAGCAAGTGCCACAGATTTTGCTACCACTGCAGGGCCGGTTAAAGGGAAAAAAAAGAAGACACTATCATAGATTCTGAAGATGGTGTATGTGCATATAGTTATGTAACTCTGTCGTCACATACATTAAATCTCTGTGTAATAGGTAAAATAGACAATTATTTTCTGTGAGGGCGCTGAAAGTAAATCTGTAAATCAGTGATAAACTAATGTAAATCAGTCATCACATACATTACAAATTGTGCATTAACAAGGTAGAAATTCATGATTATAAAAGCCCCATTACAAAACTTTCAAAAAAATCTAAACTGTTTCCCCAAAAAATACATTACAAAGCACAAAAACCATTACAAAGAGTTTCACACGTTTCCCTTTCATCCTCATCCTAATGACCAAATGAAGAAAAAAACCATTGAATCAAGTGATGATGATACAAGAGACTGTTTAAAGTACAATTTAAATTCAAAACAGATCAGCTCACCCTGGAAATCGAGGGTTCGGCTGCCGGCGCTGGAAATCGAGGGTTCGGCTGCCGGCGAGGGAGGTGAAGGGGTGGGGACACGACGCTTAAGGTGGTGGGGCGGTGCGCTGCAGGTGGAGGGCTGGGGGTGCGCTGGAAGTCAAAGGTTGGGCTTCCGGGAGGGAGGTGGAGGGGTGGGGAGACGACGATGGAGGTGGTGGGGCCAGTGCGCTGGAGGGCTGGGGGTGCGCTGGAGATGGAGGGTCGCTGGAGGTGGAGAGTTGGGGATTTTGCCGGCAAGCCAAATTTGGGAAAGAAGAAGAGAGAGAAGGGTTGGAGAGAGAAGCAGGAGAAGGATTGGAGAGAGATTAGATTTGAGAAAAGAAAAATAAAAAAAATTAATTATATATTTGGTAGCATGCTTGGAGGCACAGTAGTGTCTCTTTAGCATTTTCCTTGTGGGAATAGTTCTCATTTCACCTTTCGCCATGACACTTTTTTCATTTTAAATTCACCCACCTCAACCCTTTCCCAAATGATACTCCATCCCTCTCCCAAGAACTTTTCTGATTTTAACTTTTTTTGGCTAAATACTACTCCGTAATATTTTTTAACCATAAATTTAATATAATATAAAATAAATAAATATTAAAAAAATTTGACATATCAAAAATACATCTTAAGATAAATCTAATTATATTAAATTTTATAATATTTATAATATTTATAACATTAAATCTTTCATAATTTATAGCCAAGGAGTATCGTTGTTTGACCACAAAAATCAAAACATGTAGGGTTTTTAGGAACTGAGGGAGCACTACTTTGGTATTTGTTTAATTTGATATTTTTGAATTAAACTAAAAGAATTTTGAACATAATTTAATAAAAACTCTAATGGACAAAGTATATAACTATAAAAATAATTTTATTATATTTAAATTGTATAAAACTTTTAAATTTTTATTTCATTATATTAAGAGAAAATACAAATAAAGAGTAATTCATAATTAAAGTTCATCTAGTTTACTCAATGAATTAAAAATAGATAAATACATGCACCTGGACGGGAGACAATCTCCATATCAATATATTTGTTTAATTTGATTTTTTTCAATTAAATTAGATAAATTTAGATTATCAATCAAATAAAAGTAGCAAAAATTAGTATGCACATGATATAATTTGTTTTGTAAAACAATTTCAAAAATACTTTAATTTATTAAAAGAAAATATATTCAAGTAGTGTTTATTTAACCAAAGATGAAAGGTTTTTCTATTTGACTGTAAAAAGTCAAACTAGAAAAACATGCTAGAACGGAAAAAGTATTTTTGTCCCAATTAAATTCAATGTTTGACATATTTTAGAGTAGAGATAAAGATTGTTACGCATATATTTTATTATTTAGAAGGGAGACTGTAAAATTTATTTTGAAAGAGTAAAAAAGGGTATGATTTAATTAGATTTATTTTTTAAAACAATTTCTATAAAAAAAATTTCATTAATATAAAATGTACCCGAATAATGTTTAATTATCTGATGATCAAAGATTTTTCTATTTAATTTTTGAAAAATCAAACTAAACAAACACGCTAGGATGAAAAGAGCATTTTTGTCTTAAATAAATTCTGGAGTCGGTAGAACTTTTTTAGACTTCCAAATTTGAGAGCAATTAATATGGATTTTCAAAATTTTTTAAAAATCTTGAAGTATTCAATAAGGATTTTCAATTTTTAACTTGTATAAGACTTTTTCTTGCATATTTTAATTTTTTCGTTTCACATTTTCATATTGTATTTTTTATTCGTAGTTTTTTACTCTTATATAGGGGATTCTTTCTCTGCTTTACTTTGATTTTAATGTCTACGGTGTTAAATAACGCATTACATATATTTTCATAAACTTATCTAAAAATATTACATTGAAGATAAATCATAGAATGGGCAAAAATTTCATTTGACACCGTGCGTGACACAAGTTAAAATACTAGTTCATTTCAATGTGTGAGCATACCGACCAAATAAGATCAGAAATAGTTTGTATTTTTCTCTTTTAAATGTGACTAGAAAAAAATTAGATTAGATTAGATTAGACCAGATTAGATTATATCAGACTAGATCAAATTAAATCAAGTTTTAATAAAATCATATTAGATCCAACCAGACTAGACAAATAGAACTATCAAAATAAAGATTTTCAAAAAGACCGTTATAAGTTGAATAAAAAAATTTACTCCCTCTGTCCCCCAGGTTTTGTCCACTTTTGACTTTTGAAACTGTTTATCTAAGCACTTTGACTCATCAAATTCTCTCAATGTGTAAGCCTAAATATAGTCATGTGTGATCTTATTTGATTTGTCTTAACATATAAATTATTAATATATAATTTCTATAAATTTTTAATATACAAATTACAAGATAAAATGGACTAAAGAAGTGCATTGGATGATGTGTAAAAATGAAAGTGGACAAATACTCTGGGACGGAGGGAGTATGTGTTATGCTCGTAATTCAAATATTGCCTTTGTCCATGTATATTTGTCTAATTTTAACTTTTTACATTTAAAATTAAAAAGTTTTTAAAACTAATTAAATAAAATTAATATTAGATATTGATAAAAAAAAATGGTATAAAACTTATATTTTACCAAATATTTTTTTAAAATACGAAATATTACTTTATGTAATTAATACGGAGTATATCATAATTTTATTTAATTATAGTTAAATTTTAAAAATGATTCACTGTCATTAACTCGTTTTGACCCGGTGGCTTGAGCTACGCTCGGCACACGAGCCCGCACACCAACTTGGAATGCCACATTGCCTTTCTTCCTCGTGCGTGACTGCTTTTATTCCCTTTCTTCTTCCCTTTCTTCCCACAAAGTTGCGTAGATTTGAACCAATCCCCTCTGCTTAATATCCCCTTCTCAACCCACAAATTTCTTCCCTCGCCTCAATTTTCTGCAATCTCCCCAGAGATAGATTTTTCACACACACACAAAAAAGAAACATTTAGATGTGACCATGTTTAGCTCGGAAGCAGAAATTTCCAGAGAGACGAAGAAGTTCTCGTGTCCTGCTGACGAGATGGTTCCGCAGGATGAGTTGCAGAAGATCGAGGAAATCTTCGAATCAGATCAGCAGAGGGAGCTGATGCGCTACAGTTCCGCTCCCAGCTCCTTCTTTGACGCTATGCTGGACATCTCCGCCGCCGTGAACGGCGGGGCGGAGAGCTTCCCGGCGAACAACGACGGCTCTTCGAGCTCAGACTCGGAGCCCATGTTCTCGTCCATTTTGACCTGCATCGGGTCGGGTCACGAGCAGAGCCCGTTGAGCGGAAATGGAAGAAAAGGCCTTGAAGTTCATCAGGAGATGATGGGTTATGGAGCTCTTGATGAGATCGGATCTTATGGTGTGGAGATGGAGATGCATCTCATCAGGCAAAGCAGCTCGCCCCCTGATTTCTTCTCTGGTAAAGTTTCTCCAAAAGTTCTGGTTTCCTGAAACATTAATTTGTCTAAAATCTGTTGTCAGTGAGGCTCGAACTCACAACCTCTTGATTAAGGTCTTCTGATACCATGTCGAGAAATTAATTTAATCAAAAGTTTAAGCTACTCTAACAACTTACTTAGAGAGCAAGATTGAGAGAAATTTGGGGTTGGTTTAAACTTCGTTTTCGGTTAGCGTTTTGGATAAATTGTAACGCACCAACACCAAATGCGACAATGGCCAATGGGATAACATTTTTAAAAAGGGTAAAACTAATGCCAAATGGAACTTTGATTAGTCTTTCAAAGACGGGTAATTTCGGGGATCTTTCGTGTTCTTGATTTTTCTCTATGCTCTATACAAATATGATCAAGATTGGCTGTGTTTTGAGCAGTTGTTAATGGATCTCAGGGTTTGACATGAGAGAGGCAGGAAATGATGATGGCTTCAACAACAGTAGTAATAATATCAGCTACTCCTCTGCTCAATCTTGTGCTTCAAACTTCATCATGCCAATCATAGCAGAAAATGACTCTTGGAATGATTCTTCTTACAATTGCTTAAAGAGGACCAGAAATGGTGACTTCAAAATGTTATCAGCTCTCAATAATGTTATGGAAGCTCAGGTAACTCGTTCAATCGATTAACGGTTTGAACTCAAGATCTTGTTAAACCTCAATTGCTTTTTCCTCTTCAAGGGTCTAATGTGGATTCTAACATAGCTTGGGTACACATATGAAGTTGTCTTTGATATGGATGTAATTTTATTGTTTCCCTTGTGCCAGAATGAGAGTGAGAAAGGTGAACAAAGAAACTGTGAAGCACCTGGTTTAGTTCACCAAATGAGCTTGCCCGGTACCTCTGCTGAGATGGAGACATATTTGCAGTTTCAACAAGGCGCTGTTCCGTGTAAAACCCGCGCTAAAAGAGGGTGTGCCACTCACCCAAGAAGCATTGCTGAGAGGGTATACTTCTCAATCTTTTTCCCATCTTTATGTTTTTGGTTGCGTTTAAGTCCCATATCAAAACCTAGAAGAGAAGAGCAAAAGAGATATGGATTTTGACATCTCCATATTTCAAAACTCTTTTTTGATGTTTGGTGAAGCCAAATGAGATATCGAGTTTGATATCTCAAGATATCATAAATCCTCTAAATGGAGGATTTTGATATCTCCCGATCTGGGAGATATCAATATGGGGGTTTGACATCCTCTCAATTTGACCGGCCATTCTATGCAACCGGCTACCATTGTCACCGCCAACCACCCTCATTGTCGGTCACACTTGTGTATCACTAATTAAATCATGATTTTAAATCTTCACAAACAACTTCGTTTCCGATTTTAAAACCTATATCATTTCTTCTACATCTTAAAACTCATATCTTATCATACCATCCAAAACTCATCAAACGGGCTGTTAATATGGTCCAACACAAGCATTTCATGGCCTATCATCTGTAACGCAAACTGAAGTTCGATGGCTTTTGTTTGTGTGCACAGAAGAGACGCACTCGGATTAGCGAAAGAATGAAGAAATTGCAAGAGCTAATTCCCAAGTTTGACAAGGTAAAATCCTAAGATCACCATTCTTTTTGGGAACTATCCAAAAATAAAATAAATTCGTGCGGATTTGACTAAAGGTGACATTTTCATGTGCAGCAAACAAGCACAGCTGATATGTTGGACTGGGCAGTTGAGCACATTAAAGAACTCCAGACACAAGTCCAGGTATATATTGGGTGGGGGGACTAAATAAATACTCATATAATTAAACATATTTTTCTCACAATTTATGGTCAAAGAGTGTCTCTGTTTGACCAAAAAAAGTCAAAATAGGAAAGGCAAATACTCATGTGAATAGTCTTTTATGCCTTGGCTCATGCATTAGTGGTTGCCATTGTTGCAGATACTCAGAGATAACAAGGCAAAATGCACTTGTTCCAGTAAAGCTCAACTGCATTGAAATGGTAAAAAGACTGAATTTTGCTGTACAGGAGATAAAAAAGTAGGTGTAGAATGAAGGGAGAAGAGAAGATGTAGTTAGTTTCTGTAACAATGTATTTTCAAGATCTGTTAGTGTGTAATTGTGTATTTAATCTCTTCAATAATAGTGCGCGCAATCTTAAGTTCTTGAAAGTTGCAATGACTCCCCCCCCCCAACTGATTTTGGTGGTTTCTACCGGATGAACAAAATTGAAAGTGGTACTTGGAATGAAAAAAAATATCAATATCAAAATAAATAAAATAAAAAAAAACCTTCAGCCAAACATCGTAGATCGCAACGTCAAGTTTTCTTATGAGACGAGAGGAATATAACTCTCCCTTTTGAATTATATTTTATAGAAAATATACTCCTCATCAATCATTATTTGTTATTCCTTCCACTTTTTATTCAAACATCATTCAATCTTTCCCCATCTTTATTTTTCACATCCTCACTTTTGTTTAATTTAATTGTACTATAATATAAAGCATTTGCTTATATGATCGTTTTGAATAAATAATAAGTACGAGTAAAAAAAATAGAGGCGGACCTTTAGTGTCATACTTTATCTTTTGACAAAAGATGAAACCGAAACCTGTAGACTTGTAGAAGTCATATAATTACTGATTTGCACAGTTGGATGAATCGGATTCAAGTTTACCTCTTGACAATTCTTACTCAACAAGTTGAGTTTCGTTCACCAACGTACCCTATCTTTTAGGATAAATTTCACGTATGGTATCTGAACTTTCAATTATTTTTCGTTTTTTCTTAAACTTCATTTTCTTTCACAAAAATACCTGAACATTGAAAATTTTTCACAAATGGTATCTCTAGCCGGTTTTCAGGTAACCATCGGGTCATTTAGCTAAATTACAATTTTATATATTTTAAAATTTTAAAATTGACCACATTTCTTTTTTCTTCTTCATCCCCCTCCCACTCCCTTCTTTTTCTTCTTCTTTCACCCCCTTTTTTCTTCTTCTTCTTCAAAGCCTTCCTCCCCCCACCTCCATTTTTCTTCTTCACCCCCTTTTGTCAGTGGGAGGAGGAAGAAGAAGAAAAGAGAAATGGGGTCAAATTGAAGATTTTAAAATATACTCCGTATAAAATGGTAATTTGATCCAAATGACCTGATGACTACTTAAAATCGGCTCCAAGTACCATTTGTAAAAGACTTTCAAAGTTCAGGTATTTTTGTGAAAGAAAATAAAGTCTAAGTACCAAAACGAAAAATAGCTAAAAATTCAAGTAACATACGTGAAATTTACCTCTATCTCTTACCAATTCAATTATCGGCTAATTTATGTGGCTATTCTCTTTGAGTGGCCACATAGGACACTGATCTGATTAGGATAATTACGTTACTACGTTCACAAAATTAATACGGAGTAATTCTTATTCCTTTTCTTCTACCCAATTCCGACCCAACTTATCTTTCGACCCACGTCAATTACATCCGAGAAGTTTAATTAATTTTAGAGGGTAAATTTCACCAATGGTACCTGAACTTTAGCTGGAATTTTGAAGTGGTACCTAAACTTCAAATCCTTTCAAAAAAAATCCCCGAACTTACACAATCCTTTCACTAATAGTCCATTAGCCCGTTTCTAGGTCAACTTCCGGTCATTTGGGCCAAATTAGAATTTTATATATTTTAAAATTTTCAATTTGACCCCATTTCTTTTATTCTTTTATTCCGCTCCCCGCCGCCGTCACACCACCTCAAACTCGCCGGAAAATCAACCTGGTCCGATTTCGGCGGGACCAATGTCATTCTCTTCGTCTTGAGATGAGGATCAAGAATATCCAAACCATTTTTTCCAATTTGGCCTGCAACTCCTCGAATTTGATTTTTCCACTCGAAAAAACCCGGCTGGTCGCAGCGTTTTCTGGCCACCTCCGGCAAAATTGACGCCGCTCATCCCCTCCAATGTGTTCGTGGCATCTTGGCGACCTCCAAGGACCCCTCAATTGCAAGATTTGATGGCGATTTGGAAAAACCCCCAATTTCGGATTTTAGGGTTTTTTCGAGTGGAAAAATTCAAATTCGAGGAGTTGCAGGCCAAATTGGAAAAAATGGTTTGGATATTCTTGATCCTCATCTCAAGACGAAGAGAATGGCGTTGGTCCCGCCGAAATCGGACTAAGTTGATTTTCCGGCGAGTTTGAGGTGGTGTGACGGCGGCGGGGAGCGGAAGAAAAGAATAAAAGAAATGGGGTCAAATTGAAAATTTTAAAATATATAAAATTCTAATTTGGCCCAAATGACCGGAAGTTGACCTAGAAACGGGCTAATGGACTATTAGTGAAAGGATTATGTAAGTTCAGGGATTTTTTTGAAAGGATTTGAAGTTTAGGTACCATTTCAAAATTCCAGATAAAGTTCAAGTATCATTGGTGAAATTTATCCTAATTTTAGACCCAAAACTTTTTATCCCAAAATAAATTACAATGGGTGGGGTGGTTTAAAAATGGGTGATATTCTTGTTTTCTTTAGCCTCTCCATAAACCCCTCACCGGCGGAAAGAAAATCTGAGTTCAAAGGGAATACTTTTGGAATGCAGCCTCTTCTCATCCAGAATCAACTGCCATGTCCTTTCCCTACTTCCCTATCAAATTCAAATAATGCTCCGCCGTCGATTTCTCCACTCAATCTTCTCCGGCTTGGGTCACTCCGCCGGATTTCCACTTCCGGTGGCGGATACGGCAGAGGCGGTCTAGTGAAATGCATGGCCAATCCTCGGAGAGTGAAAATGGTTGCTAGCCAGATAAAGAGGGAGATCTCCGACATGCTACTGACTGATAAGGTTTTGAAGAGCGCGATTATGCCGGAATATGGTCTCGGAGCTGATCTGTACCTATCCTCGCTTACTTCTATCAGCGATGTTGAAGTTTCTACCGATTTGCAGGTTCAATGCGTTCTGAATTCGCCTTAAGCTTTTGTGTTTCTAATCCCCCAATAGGGGTTAATCCTCTGTTAAACTTCTAGGGTTTATCTCGATCCGCTATTTTCTAGTTCTTACTACAATGGTCATTTAGCAGCATACAACATTTCATCCTCTGCCATTTGTAGCGGTCTTCTTTGAATATATTATTCTGGTAGTTTTGGACCGAGGTTCAAGAGGTCTCGTTTTGTAGAAATAGTTTCGGTAGCATCATTTCCAAATTCAATTGAAGAAGACGATTGAATAAGAAAAGATTGGTTGTTGTATTTCTTTGATGATTCACTTCAGTATCAAGCATTCTTATGCACTTTCACAATTGAGTAATGCGTGAAGAACGAAAAATTGTTGGATTTGTTTCGGAAGCTCTTAAAGTTTACATTGTGTGGCCTCAAGATAAGCTGATTCACTGATTGTAGGTTGTCAAAGTGTATGTTTCTGTTTTCGGGGATGATAGAGGAAGGGAAGTGGCTATTGCAGGATTGAAGTCGAAAGAAAAATATGTGCGAGGCCAGTTAGGCAAGCGCATGAGGTTGAGACTTACTCCAGAGGTCCGGTTTATTGAAGATGAGTCTCTTGAGAGAGGAAGCCGGGTACGTAACAGTACATGTATATGTAACTTAACACATTGGTCAAAACTCAAAATACAGTACTAGATTCTGGACATGCACGTGCATTCTGCTGGAGCTTATTCTCATTTCTCATTTCCCATGATGCTTGGAAATTTATTGATATATACTGTGTATAGAGATGACAATTTATTTTATGCAGTAGTCTTGGTTTAGTTATAGTTTCTGTGTAAAAATGCATTAGCCTGTTTGGGAAATTCTTTCTCCATGTGTTTAACTCGCTAATTTTGTGCACCATGTGATTTATATGGTCGTGCTCCGCAACAAAAATAAAATTCTTTCAGGTTATTGCTATATTGGATAAAATAAAGAGCGAGAGTGAGAAAAAGAAGGCAGATGCACCAGTCGATGACAGCTCTGACTCATCTGTTCAGAATGAAAATGCCGAAGAATGGGAAGGCGATGGTGAAGATGATGAAGGAATCGTCTATGTGGAATAGTTTCTGCTGAAACTATAGTCTTTTGAACTGACAGCAGATATAAGGTATAATCCAATTCAAATTTCCCCATTGTCGCCTTTGTTTATGGGCATATTTATATTCTTATCTGTTTCTTTTTTAATGTGAACCCACGATAGGCATTATAAACGGTACTACAAACATCATTACGTCTACAATGACAGGTAAACTGCAGGAAAAGAAGGAAAAACTGATCTAGCAATCCTCAAGAAGAAAGGGTCACCCTCCACTCTTATTTCAAGTCCCCTCCTTCAGTCCCCTACATGAGCTCACCTGCACACATTAAACAGCCACAAGTTGAGAAAGATGGTTTCTAAAATTGTCGTGATGCCACCAATAGAGTTGTTTGTAGCATAAGTTGTGGTCTTTTTTTTACTATCTCCGTCCCAAAAAATTTGGGTTTGTAGTCCTCGACTTAAAATAATGCTCCGTATTGCAAACATGAGATGTTATTTCGTAAAAATCAGATAAATTGGAAAGTTGGAGAAGAGAGTGATCTTTTACATGGCTCAAAATTTGCAGTGCACTTTTCAGGAAGCTGCATTGCCATGGTTCGATCAACGCCAGAGATTGGTGGGCCATTCACGAGCACGCACAAGCAAGGCTGCCCGAGGGCCTTGATGGCTGCACAACAAGCCTCACCTGGTGGGATGGGACTAAACGGCGCAACTGCCGCCCTGCAAGGTATGAGCTGAACCAATGCTGAGAAGAACGTGGCCCCGCAAGTGTTACCCTTGCTTTCTGTCACCAAATGGGCCATGACCATTAACACCGCCGCCGCCACCACCACCACCCCTGAAAGCTTCATTGTTGTTTTAGGGCCCTGAGTTTGGCTGAAATGTGTCTCAATGGTGTGGGGGTGGCAGTGTCGCAACTGGTGCCTCATTTAATAGTCGGGGAGATATGGGCCGAGTGGGTGTTGTTTCGTGCTGCCGTCCTAACCTTGCCTGATAGTATAACACATAACTTGCGTGATTGTGACATGGTTTTCGAGCTTCTTCAACTTCATGGCGTTCCATCATTATGGTGGTATGGAAATTTGTTACGCTTCATTACAATTTTTTTTCCTTGGTTGCTATTGGAACAAACGTCAGTTTTACGAGGAATAATTTTCCTATGGGTAAAGGGATGACCAAAACGTTTATTTGTCAATGGTAACGATATAATTTCAAAAAATGTCAATGGATGGGTTCTTCTACCACTAATCCACTCCTACAGGAGCTCAAGAAATATTACCCTTTCGTTTAAAAATTATCTTCTTTTTCATTATTTATAAGGTCACATTTATTCACTTTATTGGCCTATTTTTATTGTTCATTTGATAAAATAATAATCATATCATTTATAATTTTTTACTCTGTAATTCTTTTAATGTAGTTTTTAAATATTTAACTTTTACTTTTAATTTTATATTCCCTCCTTCCCAAAGTATTTGTCCACTTTCATTTTTACACACCATCCAATACACTTCTTTAATCCATTTTATCTTGTAATTTATACACTAAAAAATTGTACTCCCTCCGTCCCAAATTATTTGCCACATTTGTATTCCCGAGGCAAAATATCAAGTTTTTTCAATTCATTTTATTTACATATTGATAAAGAAATAAAAAATAAAATTTATATATAAAAAAACTACATGACAAGTTCTTCAAAATAAGAGGTGTCAAGAATATTTTATTTTATCAAATAATCAATGAAAACGTCGAAATAAACAAAAGTTTCCGACACTGCTAAAAAAGCAAGTGTTGTGAATATTTAGGGACGGAGGGAGTAGAAATTATATATTAATAATCTATATGTTAAGACAAATAAAACAAGATCAAACATGACTATATTTAGACTTACACATTGAAAGAATTTGATGACTCATAGTGCTTAGATGAACAATTCCAAAAGTCAAAAGTGGACAAATATAGCGGGACGGAGGTAGTACTATTTTTCATATAAAATGATTTTTTAAAGATAATTTTTGAATGAAAGTATATTGTAAAGGCAGATCAGTCTAATAGCTTTTGATGAATGAAAAGGGAAGTAACCAACAAAGATAGATTTACATCACAATGATCGAGAGAAGCAGAGATCAAACGCAAAATCGGAAAGTAACTCGATGGATTTAGTTTGAATTCATAAAAAATTGATTCTTCTCGCATGGGTAGCTTAGATGATCTTCCATGAAAGAAGTGTTAAGTTCGAAGTCTCATGATCAATTTCTAGTAACGGTAGTGTGAGAGAGCTTTAACCGATGGTATAGTTTCTTCTGTGCATCGGGAAATGAAGAAACTCTTGGAGGAACAAACTACTCCCTCCGTCCCATTTTATAACGCCTGTTTCCCAAATGCTACAAACTGACTTCAATAAAAGTTTAGTAAAATATACTGTTTACCATATCTTAATTTTTTATTTTTAATGTATAGTTTTATGATGTAGTTTTCTAGATGTTTTGATCATCACTGTTGTTATAAAATAAAATAGTTAAACGATTGCTTTTATCTCTTTGAAAGTGAATGAAGTTTGACCCTGTGAATAGTGACCAGGCATTATAATTTGGGACCGAAGGAGTAAAATTATAGGGTGATTTATCTCTCACTACTCTATTGGGTCGGATCATGCACGTTTGGGGTGGGCTTTCCACTTTTTTAATACTATATAAAAAGTTAGATTTTGAATTTTAGGATGATGTGCTTTTTTATGAGGGGTGATTTTAGATGTATTTGGTTGGTAATTTAAAGATTAGATTATGTAAGGTTAATTAGATAGAATTTGCTGATTTTAAAACATATGCAACACTTCCCTCACTCTAGCATCAAAATTGAAATTGAATGCCATTATATAACACGAGTTAAGGTAGGCAAAATTTGAGTCTACTGGTTTTGGATTTTCAAAATCTGATTCTGTTAATTCTACTGGAGTATGTTAATGAAATATATGCACTAAATAGCACTAAAACATAAATTATTTTCCAATGTAGGATTTAAACTTTTTTATTCTCTAAATAGCACTTAATAATGTCTAAAAGAAGAAATAATGTCCAATGATGGTAAACATTAACTTGAATAATGACTAATGGATAATAACTAAAAATGCTACACTGGAAAATAAAAACATATGATGCTATTTAGGGAAAGTCGGTATATTTTAGTGCTATTTAGGTAAATTCCTCCATGTTAATTCTGTAAATTCAAATTCAACTGGATACTTCTCAAAAGAATAAGCAAATTCATTTAAATTAACCTTACAACAGTAAACACAATTTTAGAGGTAACCACTAAGATAACATTGTGTGGAGAAATTAACATTATACAAGTTGCAAAGGTTAAAATACATCAATTTTATCCTCAAAATGTCTTCATGGTGAGGAAATCTTATTTAAAGCATGGAATCTTTTTGAATCTTTTCTGTTGAGGTTTAAATTAGACTCGTTTATGTCATATTCCATATCTTGCTCATCACTTCACAGCAGTAATCTTGTAATGTTATTTGCTTCTAAGAGATGGAGATCATAAAGGCTCTCCTTTCTTACCTTTGAGATTAATAACAGAGAGCTCTTGCTCCACGAATTCTCCCGCGCACATCGGAGGATACTTTCCCGCAAGAGGGGTGTCGGCAAAGTGTCCCAAGGGTTTTAGCACTGCATCTGATGCTATGTGTGCAAACAACTACGCAGTAACAAAAAAAATCGTCAAAAATTTTACCAGATTTGGAATTTGTAAGATACTCACTTTCAACTGAGTGCTGTAGGAAAAACGAAAGAAAAGAGTGCAATTTTGCAATTGAATATGCATTTTCTCTTTACTCACAGTTGATGATACTCTCCAGAGGCTGCGGTTTTGCTCCAATGCTCGTTTGATTGCATCAGTTGTTCTGTTGGTTACTACAACCTCATGCATGCCAGCCATGCACTGCCCTGCAGTCAACCATTCAATCTGGCACATTTCAAATTGTTGAGGATAATTAGATGAATTCAGATTTTTTTTAAATAATCAAATCTTCTCTATTTCTTGGAGTAACAATAAGGTATGCATGCAATCCCCAAACGAACCTATTCTTGAGTAGAATTTGCAGGGTTTGCTTAATTTGATTTAGTAAAGATATAATCAAGCAGTAGTCATAAGATGTGATGCAAATCGATCTCGAAATACATATCATCAAAGTTATTTGCTCTTTTACAGGATATCTGTAAGCCAGCAATGTATCTTTCAAAAATTTGTTTTTAACTATACGTATAGAAAATGCCCAACCAACTTCAGTCCTGCAGCCATAACTTTTTGCCTGTGGAGCTCTAAGCGAATTCCATAGCTTTTAACCTCCTAATAATCCTATAATTTATCCAAGAAATGAGAGCTTGAGAAAAATGTGGGTCACCAGTCCACTCACTTCTTAAACCTATCAAGCCCTCTAAACCATGCAACTAAGTAGGACAAGCAAAAATGTTATTAGTAGCTTGATAAGGGGTTAAGGAACCTTGACTGACACCTTCCAGAAATGCACAGAATGCATTCTTGATTTCAGAGCTCAGACATCAAATTTATGGGAAACAAAATTCCCCTTTGAGAAACATCACTTTTGAGTCGATGCATGGTTATTTTTTATTCCTTCTTCTTGGTAAGTGATGATTGCACTTTTCAATCTAAAGTCCTTAAAATATAACAGATGCAGCCCACATTAACTAATAACTGCACTTAAAGTTGATACCTGCTTTCCTGCCTGAATGAGGAGACACCCAACAGGGACCTTCACTTCCATTTTTTGCCCATTTCTGAGCCATATATTTAAACCAGGAAATCGACTTCTTCCATGAATTGTAAGAAAGTTAAGGTCATAATGGTATCCTGCAAACACGGTACCCTCTTGACCATAACGTTTAAGGTCACTTCCAGTTGGAGCAAGAAGATGTGGTCCCTGAAATTTGAAATGGGTCACTATCACTCAACATTGTGAAGTCATGAAGAAAAGTTTCAGTTTGTCAAGTGAACAATGAATGAAAAAATATTTGTAGCGTGCATAGTCCTACATTATTTGGTCCCAACTTTTTACACAATAAAGAAGCATATCTAAAACCTCGTTTATCACATTGACTTGTAATTACAGAAACTATGGAACCCTTAAAATTCAATGCAAAAGCAGATAAACATGCCATAACTGAAACTCAATTAGAGATTCGTCTTCTCTGATTTTGTTATCCAAATGAAATATTCCATTGTAAAGGAAAGCAGATTCAATAAGTGGTGATACAATATTCAAGGAAACATTACCTGCTTCATTAGTGAAGTGAACGCATCCTTGGGCAGGCCAAACCCAATTCCCGCCATTTCAGCAACAGTCTGAAAATGGCAATGATACAAATTTCAGAGCTCACAAATTTAGCAAGTGAAAAAAATAAACAAATGTTGACTTACCTCAATGGCAGATATCATTTTGTATCCCCATGAATCCATAGTGTCTTTCCATTCAGGAAATCCTTCAGGTATGACTGGCTCTGAATTCAGTTCCTACAGAAATGAAATGCTTGATATCTAAGCATGAAATGCAAACTGAGTATGTTAACGAACGGAAGGTTTATGCATTGAGGAAACCTTAAACTGGGTTATTTCCGGCCGTGGACCAACTCTCCACATATACCGCCACTTAGGGTCGGGCCCTGAGAGAGGAGCTGGTTGATACTCTTTGGGCAAGGATTTTAGCTTCTCTTGGATTTCTTGATCAACTAAACTGCGAGGCACTTCAATTCCTTCCGGTGTCACTCCAACCTGTAAGATATTGCCATAGCAAATATTCAAGGGGGAAATGCGCCAAAGTCAGATGCAATTTATGTCTCCAAAACTCCATGTGAGAAGATTTTCTGGGAATTCATACTATTCACAACCCTAATTTTGTCAATTTGGACAATCAGCAGTCCATTAAGCTCAGTTAAAGGATTTTAACTTCCGGAAAATTAACAGACAAAAAACGGTGGGGACTGGGAATAGAACGAATAAATTCAAAGGAGGACCTGATAATGAAGGTGGGGACGTTCCTGGAGGCGCTTGAATTCTTCGGGTTGCTCGAAGTACTTCTCCATCATGTCAATGAACCGATCGTTGTCCTCGGCGGAGCAACGCGGATCCTTCACCAGCAAAGCCCCGGTGTCTGCTAGGGTTCGGCTCACTTCTAAGCAAAGACTCACGAGTTGGGGATCCAGGTCCGTCTCCGTCTGCGACCGAGCTGAGAATTCCAAGTACGACCTCAGATCGATCACCGGGAGCTCCATTTCGTCGCCGGAAAATAGTGGCGGTTGGATCGGCGGGATAAAGGAGATCTGGAAAATGTGGAGCGTCAATTAGAAAAATGTGCCGGCGGGAGAATATATGCTTGCGCTGTTCCAGGCATCCCCACCAGGAGAACGGCGATCCGGCGGCACGCAAAAGACAAATCTGGTAAAGTGTTTGGTTTCGTTCTTTTTTGCCTTTTACGAGTAGTTTTTACCGGGAAAACTTTATTCTGCATCTGGATTCTTGAATACTCCCTTGGTCAAAGTACACAAACTTTAATTATTATAGTAATTACTTTTAATTTGTAATCCATACTAATATACTCCCTCCGTCTGGAAATAATCTTCCCGTTTCTCCTTTTTCTCCGTCCAGAAATAATCTTCACATTTCAATTTTTCATACACAAACTACCCAAAATACCCTCACTCATTTATCACTCTCTCTCTCCTCCCTCATTTCTTGGCCTTGTCTCTGCTCTTCTATTTCTCACATTCCCTTCTTCTTCTCCCCCCCAATATTCTTTCACACCTCTTTTTTCTCTCTCAAGATCTGCTCCTCCTCCTCTGTCCCCTTCCTTCCCTCATAGTCTTTCTCCAGATCCACTCGTCCTCCTCCAACCCCTTCTCCTGTTAATTTGTCTTCCAGATTTGCCAGGTTTGGACATATCTGTTCTTGATATGGCAATGGCGGCAGCAGTTGGGTAGGACTAGCGATGGCGGTGACTGATGCAATGGTATGAGTTGCGATGATGGTGCTCGAGGTGGGCAAAGATGGTGAGTTGTACTCAGTTTTTGTAGATCTAATTGGGGCGGACCA